AGAGAGATGGGGTTGCATACTGCAACTATATGCCATAAAACAGCCTTCAGGTCATGCCTAGCTCTGGATTTCCTAGTGCATCAAGGATTGCCTTGTCTAGCTTCCCTCCAGCCATAGGAAAGGGCCATTCCAATGCTGCCACCAGTAGCGGTTGTGACCTTGCTGTAAGTTGTCCATACCAAGCCTTGGGAAGTGATTCAGCCTAAAATTAACTCCACAAATGAAACGTAAGGTTCATCTTCAGCTAGTGCCACTTCCTGAACCAGGTTCCTCTGTGCCCATGCACACAAGAAGTGGATCGTGTGTGCAAGGAAGAGAGGAGACTGTCCGTGGTGGTGGCAGCCTGTCTTTAGGCTGGTTCAGCCACGTAAGCATCTTGTGGTGGGTACTCAGCCTGAAAAACTGAGGAATCCAAACCATCCATGCCCTCCTCACAAAAGACACAGTAGGCTCAGCACCCATCCAGACCCTGGTGTCGTGGGGAGACGTGCAGGGTGTTTGCCACAAAATCTGAGCTGCTTTGGGGCTCTTGGCAGTCCTGTGTCCCTCAGCTGGAGCTGTGCTCAGCTCAGAGCAGCGCAAGAATTGCTACCTGAAGCCAGGTGAAATGCCGAGCCAAGGACCCGGCTTCAGTTTTCAAACGCCGCCGTTTCTGGCAGAGCTCTTGTTGTGCAGCCTAAGGCAGGGGGGCGAGGGCTGGGTGTTTTCGGTTGTGTGTTTGATCAGTGTGCTTTCCACGTGGTGCTCAAGTAAATGAACTAATTAATTAAGAGGAATTGTACATGTGGAAGAGGGGCAGAGGTGATACTGCTGCTTACATTTTCGAAGAAATGTTCATCATAAGGGATGTTTGAGGAGTATTGAGAAACACCACACTAAGATCGGCCTCTCTGGTGGTAGGTGCTGGGGGGCAGCCGGGGAGCAGTGGAGGAAGGGCAGCGAGGAGGAGGGCTTCCCTTCTGCGCTCCAGAAGGGAGGATCTGGGGCCAAGGGACACGAGGTGGGGCCCCAGAGGAGGTGGCCACATTAGTCCCAGGGGAAGCATGGATGACCTGAGATGAAGGGAAGAAAAGGAAGGGAAAACCTTTCCAACTTCTGCCCAACAGATGCTCTGGCATCTACTCTGGATGCTCTGGCTCTCCACCGGACTTGGGGTCTACCTTGTGTTTACTAACCAGCCCAAAGTGGGTTTGAACTGGTGACCCGAAGGTGAAGGGCTCTGCATCTTATTAGAATTACTGTGAGCTGCTGAATGAGTCCCCCATGGCAGTTAATATTTGATTATGGTTCTAGAAAATGTTCAGCTTTTACAATTAGTGTCAAAGCAGTGGTAAGCCCCTCTTTGATTCCTGGGTGTAGGCTCGTGCTTTTCTTAACCTCACACGTATGCTGGCATATTTACAGTAAGTGCTCAGGGGGTTGGGTTTTTTTATTATTATTTTTTTTTATTTTTGAATTAAAAATGAAAGTTCCCCAGGGAAATTATGCAATGGGAAATAGCCACTTCAATAAACTTGACTCACACATTTTATTGATTATGGTAAATTTAATTATTCCATTTAAACCTTGCTTACACATAAAAAAAAAAATAATGTATCCTTCCTACATGTTTTTTCCTGATTTTGTATCCTTCTCTACAAACCAAACATGTACTATATATTATTCTATGTTTTTAGAAGAGAAGCACTCAAAGCTAAGCTTCTCCCCAATAATTATAAATTAAAATGAGAAAACATACCATAGATGGTATTCAAAACATCCTCAGATAGAACTTTGAATTGTTAAACAGCAGTAATTATAGCTTTTAAATATTCTTTTGCCTCTGCCTTATATTCAGTGCACCGTTTTTGCTAAGGGAGACAATTATTCAAGTGCAAAGGATGTTAAAAAAAAAAAAAAAAAAAAACACAAAACAGGTATTTCTCCATCTCAGTACTTCATTAGGTGATACCTTTCTTTTTCTTTACGCTCAGATAATACCTAGCGGCCTTGATCTTTTGGGGAAGCCACTGCACTAGGGTCTTTAGAGGCAACAGTCAAAAGTGCAGCAAAAGAGCTGGTCCCTGGGTCATTCCTGGGTTTTAACGTTTTTGCTCGAAAACAAAATTTGAAAAATTGCTACTGGGTATCTTTCTTTCCCTTTCCCTTTCCCTGAATTCTTGCCACTCTTCCTGAACCACTTCCAATGCAGGCAACCATTTTTCTTATATATATTTTTTTTTCTCCTTTTTAAGCTTAAGAATGGTCTCTCCTTCCTGAGGGAATTCAGTCATTCATTACCTTCTGACTTCCCATGAAGAGGAATCTGTGGGACTGAGGGCAAAGCAGTTCACCATGGCTAGGAATTAGGCCATAGAAAGAAGAATTAGTTAGAGATGAAAAATCAAATGTAATTCACGGTTTTTGTACTGCCTCTCGCGTGAGGGGACCATTCTGAGCCAGCCCATCCCAGCAGTGAGGCAAATCATGGTTTGTCTTCCTCCTCGAAGCTGCACAATTCAATGTGGAGTGCGATTTTTGGGGTTCTGACCAGCTTTGAAAGCTGAATGGGGCCAGGATTTGCTCAAGTCATTGTTGTTTCTAAACACATCTTCCATCCAAGTGCTTTCTCAGGGCTGTCAGACGTGGGATTGTTGGAATCCCATGGCCAAACTCTCATCTGGTGAAATCTGAAAGGGAGCGACTTACTTCAAGGGAGCTGCACCTCTTTGGTCACTGCGGTGAGCATGGGAGAAACCGGTGAGTTGCTCCAGTTTCTCTCTTGGCAGCACCTTCGGCTCAAGCACAGTGACCAGACCAGCACCCTTCTGGAAGTCTCTTCTTGGCAAAAGATGGACTGGGGAATACTCCACAAAGACCTCAATGCCATTTCTGTCCCCGGGTTTTCCACATTACAGCATCAGTGACTCAACATAGGGGATGCTTCTCCCGTGGCTTGAAACAAAAATTTGGATGCTCTGTATCCTGGTGGGTTACAGATTTATTTGCTTTATTCAAAAAGTATAGCTGGAATTAAGTACTTACATATTTCTACATGACCTACCCTTAAAAATAACTACTATTTGATGTAAACTGGCGAGGTTCCCTTGAGTTAAATGGATTCACTCCAGCTTGCACCAGATGAGGATTAGGCCCCAAGATTCATGCAAGCCTGGTTGTGATGACCTTGAAAAGAACTTAGATTAAAGATGAGTTTGGAAGCAAACCGATTCGTAAGCCTGGCTGATTTAGTTTGTTTTTCTGGCAAGTCCTAGTTTTCTGAAAATATGACCTTGTTACAATATGTATTACACCAAATCCTTCACTTAATGAGCCCATTGCCACAGATGTCACTCTCCATGCCATAACTCCCCAAAACATTTCAATTTCCTTCCCCATAACTGTCACCACGCTTGCTCTGGCCGCCGCAGGGAGGAAACTTAGCCATGTAGCAGATCCCAGACTCGGCTCTTGGCCTAGATGACATGCAGAAGAGTTATTTTGCAGACGGACCAACCTAGGACACGTGTTCCCGCTGGGATCGGCGCTCTGCTCTCCCCTCGTGGCCTCCTTAACGAGAACGCGAGAGCTCAGACCAACAGCCAGCTCCTCAAATGGCAACAACAAAAGCCTGCTTGTCGTTACCCAGGCTGACTCAGAAAACAGTAGAAAAGGGGATTTTTTGACAGAAGTGCGGATCACAGACTCGCGAGATGCAGCTTGTCACCTAGCGCTGCCAGCGATGCTCCGTGTGAAGTTGTAAGGTCACCTACTTGCTTCCTGCCTCAGTTTCCAGAGCTGTGGGGATAGTAGCATCTCCCTGTGGGCCGTGGGCTCTGTGAGGATTAATAAAACAGGAGATATGGTGTGTAGCTCCTATGGTGTTGGTGGTGATAGATAGAGGCATATAAGCAACACTTCAAATGACGTACGAGCTGGAATCCCATGGCAAGAAGGAATTCTGACATCTGACTTGAGAGTTTAGGAATCACTCCAGAAAGAAAAACAAAAACAAAAACAAAACAAACAAACTTCCTTCTTTCCTCCTAAAAAGCTGTTGTCTTTCTTCCTGCTTTTCACAGTCTTGCATAGTGATCTACATGAGAACCTCAAAGTACTAAGTTTTGAAATGGAACAATTGCAGAGCTCTTGATGTTTCTCTTTTTCCTTTGGATGTTTTTCTTTCAAAGCAAAGTGTAGTCTAAAAGGAATCTACTGGTGGGACTGCATATTTCAAAGAAATAAATGTGTATTCCTTATACAAACCCTATATAACCATGTAGGTATATGGTTCTTTTATATGGCTCTTTTGAAGCTTTGCCAGCCATTTCTATTTACCACTGCTTCAAAGAAAGCGGAGCAGAGTGCCTGTGGAATCCCAACACACAGAGACCTCGAGGTTGGAAGGAAGTTGCAATATTATTTCTTCCCCTGCCTTTTATTGTTATTATTACAGTTATTACTCTTACTAGTGGCAATAGCAAGTGCTGCTCCAGTGAGGTGCCGCATACCTTCAGCTCCCATGGGAGTCGCTGACAAGAACAAACACTCCCATACGGGTTACCTGCCCTTGATGTACTAGCAGTATGGCCATGGCCAATTCTGCCCACCTTCCAGCTCTCCTCTGAGTGCAGGAGGAAGGTCAGAACTGCCAGGGAAGGAGACGTCTGGGAGGGAAAACGCTTCTCATGGGTAGAGGACCCCAGGACACTTTGGGAGCAGGCTGAGGTAGAACACCTTCTGCAGTGCCTTGCTCCTGGTTAGTGCTGCAGACACCAGTGTGCCAGCCACCTGTCTCATTGCACAGTGGCACTTTCTCACATTCCTGCGAGAATAAAGAGCTCCTCTCCCCTTCTCTGTTTACAAGAATACCATGGTTTCACAGGGAAAAAAGACTTGAGTTTTCCACATCCCTTCCTCGTCCTTTAGCCTGTTTGATTCAATGATTAGTTTTATACCCTGTGAGATGGACTCACTTTTTAAGCTTTATTTGTTTTCCTTTTTTATTTTTGTTGTTATAGGTTAGTTCAAGAAGAAAGTTTGAAGGCCTTGTCTACTAGATGGCACATGTGCATAGCTTTCTTCACTTTGCCGTCCCTCTACGAGATTTCATCACGCTTGCCTAGAACGTAATCTGCAACACCCACCACGGAGCTGGTCCCAAGGCAAAGAGGCAGTGGCTCACCACGTGCCATCCTTTCTCTTAAGATCCCATCTCCTTCTGCGTGGCCCCAGTTGCGGGGCCAGCAGGATGGGTTCCCCACTGCGCCGTGTTGGTTGGACGTAATCGCTGTAACGCCACTGAGCAACACGTGGCGAACAGCTTTATCACCAAGGGCAGCCAGCAAGCCGGGATGGATGAATGGGAAGCAGCTTCCAGCAGGAATGCTCCTCCGTATTTTAAGTTAGTCTTTATTGGAGAGTTGGGAAAGAAGAGATTGTTTTTTTTTTCTCCTCTGTGTGATTCATTGTAGCTGGCGCTATCTCTCACGGCACAGAGTGGCACCAGATAGCTGGTGTAAAAGGTTGTCCTCAGGGATATCCTTTTAATTTCTTAATCATTGAAAAGGCCAAAGATAGCTTGAGAGTCCAGCATCTCTAGGCAGCTGATCTGAAGCAAAACTGGAGAGGACAACCCCATATCCTGAGAGCCCTCACCCAGCCCCATTTGACCACATCACAGCTGAGTTTGTGGTCGGCCAGAAACCCCATCTTTTGTCCCTGCAGAGCTCAGGCATGCCTTCAGACAAGTGCTCTACTCGTGCTCTATCTATCCTACATGCTCTTTTTCTGAGCACCTCCCGGACTTTGCTACGTTTATCCTCTTAGCACCTCTGTAATTATCTCTCTTGTAACAGATGAGAAACAGAAGAACATGGAGATTTTGCAATTTGAGCTGAGGCAGGCAGGAGCTCTGGCAGAAGAAGAGGCCTCCCGAGGGGTGAGTAATGTCCTTTTGACAATCCCATTAGACTTCTGTTTATTCTAATGTACCTAGATACAAACCCCCCAAATTAAGCCCAAAGCATCTTGTAGACAGCAAAGTCACTCTTTGAACCTGGTCTTCTGGGAGCAATGGCAGGGCTCTCCCCACTGTCCTTCCCAGTCCTGCCATAATTCCCAGAGACCAGATCTGCGAAACAGTTGCATTCTGTTCCAGTTTGAAGGATCAAGCCTTATTTATACAAGCAACATAAACATCTCTTTCGCTTGACAAATACACAGAAAATTCAGAACAGCTGCAGTCATTGTGTGCAGTATTTTTCAGAATAATGCTGTGCACTCACAACTTTATTTTAACCAGTGTAACTGGCATAGTGAATCAGATGGCACTTGGCTTTAAATATAGGCTTACGGTCAGCCCTAGTACCAATTATATCAACGGGAACTTAACCAGGTATCTGAATATAGCATTAAACCCTAATCAGCAGCAGGAGTTGAATACAAGAAGTGCTGAGTGGAGAAGGAAACCCACTGGATAATGTCCTTCAGGTAAGGCACACGCTTAGCCAAACGGAGGGCTCTGTATAAAATCAAGTGGAGCAATGGAAATCAGATCAGCAAGGCCAGGTCTGCCTAACGAACATCCTTCCCAGTGTGTGAGTCAGCGGCAGGTTAATTAGGCATAGCTAGGCAGGGAGCAGCGGTTATGACAGGAGAGGCTTTAATTGATAGGATCATTTTCAGCACAATAATATTAATTAGCAATTGCGATAGGGAACATGAGGGCAGGCGGAGCACTTTCTGTCAAGGTATTTTTGTAAAGAATTAGCGTGTATAAACACCCATTGTAAATACATAGCCCTTGTCAGGTGTAATAAATGCCTTGGCACATACCATCCCTTCTCACAATGGAAAGATAATTAAAGACAATTGCACACTACAGTGTTTCTCCCAGATGCTAACTGTGTCACTGGAGAGATCTAAACAATTATGGTAGGAAAATATTGGGTGACTGTTAATAGCCATTTCCAAAATGCAGACAACAGATAGATTGTGAAAAATGCTGTGAGCATTGAGCCAGCCATGGAAAAAGCTAAAGGAAAAATACATTTCTGAAGAGAACATGGAAATTTGAAGTGGGAGTTAGGTGCCTAAACATCTTGGAAGAACTTAGACCCCAAGCTTACTGAAGCCAAATCCCACCCTAGCCTGCAAATGCTTTCACAACCTTCACATTTCCTCCTATGTAAGTTGTTCTTAGAAGCTTATACAAGAAGGGCCGAATCCTGAGGACATTACTTACCGGAAATTTCTAGTCATGTCACTGAATATTTACTACTGATAATCCTAGTAATAATTACCATGAAAAACTGTGTTATATTACCTGTTACATTTTATTATATATTGCACTTATATTATATTATATTGTATAACTCTATATTACAGGTCTACATTACATACCTGTAATATTATGTTCTGGTAATTAAACCAATTAAAGTGCAGTTATGATTTCACTAAAGCCCAGAAATATGAGATGTCAATCAATTCGTTTTTTATCTAGACAAAATCTTATCAAAGCCAAGTGATTCAGTTCTTAAAACCAAGTGTTCTTATGTCTGTGTCTCCATTCATGACGCATAGAAAAACAGTCCAGAAAATGCCTGTATAGGCATATATGACCTGCACGCACAGTCCCCGTTGTGAAGCAAACTGCTACCGGATAACATTTTTAGCTCCTTAGTGCCTGTGATACATCTGGGAAGGCTCTTCTGTTAGTATCATAAAAATTAAAATATATAGGAATATTTCATAGTTCTTTACAGATCTGGTATAAGCAATACACAGCCCTCTGCTGAGCGTGTAGGTTCTGCTCATCTTCCCTCAGAGGACACCAGGACAACCTAGATGAGCTGAGCTCCCTAGCTGTGGTCAGAGGCCTTTTTCCTGGGTGCAGAGTCGGCAGGTCCAGCTCTCCCTCCAGGCTCTTACAGGGCTGAGAGGTGATCCTGAATTAATTCCTTTGAAGTTGCCCAGGACTAGTGCGTGCCTGCCTGGAGCATGACATTATACTCTGGGATAAACATACTCAGGGCAGAAATCTTCATCCCACTCAAGTTCTCCCATGGCTCTTACAGTGCGGGTAAGAGTTTGGGCAAAGCCTCACTGCCGTCCCAGTCAGCTGCTGGAAGCTTGTTTCCTGGGGCTGGGTAATGGCACTTTTGGGGTTTGTGCTTTGCATTAAAAAGTCATTTGGTACAGCCACGTTCATGATCACCAAAGACAGCACCACGAAAAATTCCGGTTATGCAAAGAGGCATCAGAGGAGTGGCAGTGACAGAGGATTAATTGAGCTGGGCTGTTTCTCACACTGGCCAAGTGTTTCCCCTAATGTCTTGCACTCTGTTTCACGGCTGCATTGCTCTAGATCTGTTCCAGGCGGAGGGCAAGGACCGCGTTCACACGTTGTCTGCACAGCATCTGCACCATCATCAGGCCTTGATCCCAGCTATCATCTCTAAGGGGGGCACAAACATAAGCAATAGCAGTAATAATAATAAGGATAATGCCAATGAATGACTGGTGATAGTTACCTTGTAATATGCTCCAGAAGAGCTCCACACATCAGTTTCAGCTCATCCACGCAGGGAGGCTGTTTATGTTCATATTGTCGTTCTGACAGGAGGAGTTGGAGAGCATGGGGAGAAAAGAGAATGTGGAGTGATTTTTCTATTGTGCCCAACGAGATTATGATCAGAAGAGGAGGAAGAGAGGAAAATGTGGATAATATTTTTATTACTAAAATAAAAGAATTTGAATGTAATCATAGCAGTTAGGGAAATGTGTTTTTAAAGACCTTGAGAGAAGTCATAATGAGAGTTTACTTTGTAGATCTAATCACGGTTTACAAGACCATATGCCAGTTCCCAGTGGTGTCCATAGTGAACAGCAGGACACCAGTAATTTTCCAGATGTGGCTTCACCCCCCAGGAGGAGAACAAAACCAGTGAGAAGAACTGGAGTGACCCAGCACTGGGGGAGCCTCTGAACTGCTCTCCATCCTTTGTCTGGATGCCCTCACGAATAGTTTGGCTGTTGCCTGGTAACATTGGCATAAATTCTTCTGCAGTGTGACTGGGAGAAGCGCGGGGACGGGTCATAGGACCGATTTTATGGAAGAGTCTTTATGAAACAGGGCTGAAGTGCACATGCCATGACATCTGTCCCAGATACCTGATGCGTATTCAGGGCCTCATCAGGATGGTGGGTGAGGGTGAGGATGCTGGGTGCCAGCAAGGCACTACTGCCTCATGAAACGTCCCGTCATACAGAAGGTCACAGCCTCAACTTCTGCACTAAATTTCCTGCAACTTGAATGCTTGCATACTTGCCCCCCCCTTGGTCAGATCCATCCATCATCCACCTTGTGTGCCCTATTGCACTGCAGTGGGAGCACTCTGCTGGTTAGAGCACACCAGCAATGCGGACTTTGCAGGGGACTACATTGAGTCACCAGGTCTTTTCCCATTTTTGTTTGGCCTTTGTTTTGGAGGAGTGGATATAAGAGGAAAAGACATCTTGAAGAAGGTGAAGAAACGATGTTAAGCAGGAAAGGAATCTCTGGAGTCACTCGATCTCCTCCGGAGGTTGTTCTTGCAGCCTAACGCCCTTGCTCCAGGTTGCTCTTTCCCTCTGTCTCATGTGCTCTGCCCTCTGGTTTGTGATTGACATCAACCTGGGGAAGGGAATTGTCGCAGATGACACAGAGGTTTGTGATTTCACCAGTAACTGATTCATAACTTAACTTCGGGAGATCAGGGAACACACTAAGACCCATGAGAAGAATAACTTACACTGTGTGGATGGTAGCTGATGTCTAGGCATTGCTTGTGCTGTGGTTGCAGGGAACATACTGCCATTTCCTTTAAAAACGCACAGGTCATGATAGCCAAATCTTTACACAGGAGGAAGGGCTGGAGTTCCCTAACGAGCTGCAGATGGAAGGAGGAAATTGTAGGCAGAGACACCGAGTGGTCACCCCAGGGCAGCGATGCATCAGAGGACACGGAGGCCTCGTTCTGCTTAGCCAGAGGAGCTGCCTGCCCTTGCTGCAGATCACGGCAGGAGCAGCGGAGTCAAAGAGGAGAGCAGCCCCCGCGGCTTTGTGAGGAGCGGCGTGCTGCTATACGCATTACCAGGGATTGGTCGAGAGCCTTGGAGAAGAAAAGGGAAAAGCCCTCATGGGAGATGGTCTATTTTTAATGAGCCCAAACCTCTTCCACAAATTAAGTGAAATATTTTAAAAGGAAACAATATTACTTTGGTTTTATTTGTTTCAGCTACTTAGTTACAGCTCCACGTGGACACAATTAATGGAGGAAATAGAGTATTTTATAAGCCCAGGACTCTGAGATAGATATTTTGTGACCATGTGAAATTTTTTGCCCTAATCACCGCACATTCCTTGGGAGAAGGTTGTATATTGCCGAAAATTATTAACCTTGGTTCCAAAACTGTTATGTCTAGTCATCGAATGGCAAAGGTTAAAAATTGTCATGGCATTACTCACTAATGAATTTTGCCCTCCGTTTTTCATTAAAGTCCCTGCTGTCCATCTCTGGCTCAGGTCTGTTCTAATTCTGTTCAAAGTATTCCCCTGCAAGAAAGAGAGAAATGACCTTTCCACTGGAGCTAGTTTTATTTCTCAGATCCTTTTCAGACTCCCCCTTGTGACTTCATGTAAATCACTTGGATGTTCAATACCTCATGTCTCCATTTTTTAATGGAAAGAATGTGATTTCCCCTTTATTTGCCCATTTACGTGATGAATTTCTCAGGACAACGAATCCTCTTGTGTGGGTGGTATCTAACACCAACACATCTGATCTTTGCTGCTCAAAGAAAAAGAAATCAAGGTAAAACCTGGGGATGAATGTTGTCTGGATGAAGAGTTTCTTCTGTGCTTTGACATGCTTTCTTGGTGATGGAAACAATGAAGAAGTCATCCTTAGAAAAAATAATGTATTCTTACTCCTCTGGGACTGCCTGAAATATCAGAGACAGGAGCCGTGAAACACCAGGTCTGGGCTTTCTGGCTGCAATGAGCGTGATGGCCGGGTGTGATTTCTGGATTTCTGAATGGAGACAATTGATCAGTTCCTCGGATGATACAAGCCTATATACCTCGTTAAGCAGCCATCCAATTCTCACAGGCAGACGTCAGTATTCTCCCTTTTAGCTCTCAGACCAGCGCTGCTGAGAAGATTTCACTGCAACAGGCTATTACATGGAGGTAAACAGCATCTTGTGGACGCAGTAATCCGTGCAAATATCCTGGCAGCTAAGCGCAGCAGTGCAGTAAATAAGCAAACAACCCCAACGCCCCTTGCCCTCCACCGTGCCAATAAATAGAGTTTACTGTACACATCACTCTTCAGGGCCGCGTTGGGGTGGTGTGAATCCATTAGTAGGGCAAGGGTGAGTGACTTCTGACTTCAGTGACCCTTAAAGTTAATCCAGCATTGTAGGGGCAGAATTAAATGTGATGAGCTCAGAAAGTGTGATAAAACCAGATTTAAGTGCACAGCTGGGCAGCAACCTATAAAGGCAGAATTTAAAACCGTAATAAAAACTTTGTAATCTAATTACGACGGTAAAGTTAAAGGTGAGGTATTTGCAGCATGATTCACATGCACCACGGCTAACCTCTGACATCTTGAATATATTATGTGGTTTCTTCACTACAGGAGTAATTTTTTAGTTGCTCTCTTGCACTACATGGTTCCCCAGGTTTTATTCTCAGTATCTTTGGAGGTTTCAGGACAGGACAAAGCTGCGGGTCAGCACTTGGCAAAGCATCTGCTTTCCTGTGCGTCTCGCCCCAGGCTTCTCATGGGGCTGCTCCTCCCCGAGCTCGGGGCACCAGCACCCAGGCACGCAGGCAGGGGCTGCGGCAGGTGCACACCTCCAAAAAATCGCAGTGCAGTCTGAGGAGAAACCACAGCAAGAGCACGCATATCCCAAGCCGATTTCAGCCTAGCTAGTCTTAAGAGGAGGGAGGATGCAGAGCAGGATACAGGCTTGGATGCAGGAGCTGATCGCCAGCAGGCAGCTCCCATGGAAGCCCATGCTGTCATGTCTTCATTGCAATTGGCACCTAATTAACACCGCCTCAGATATGCAGTCATCTCTCTGATTTCAGTGCTGGCTTGTCCCAAGACCAAAGCAATGGGAAAAACCAGCCCCTTGAACTCTGCCTGATGTTCCTTCACTGCTGCCAGTGGACAAGACTCATTTTCCCCAGCTGGTGGGCTTCTTTCTGGGACAGGCACTGAAAGCTGTCAGATACGATAGCAGCCTTGGGTCCAAGTCTAGCCTCTTTCACCAGAAAGGCCACAAGGAGTTAAATATTCTGAAATAAAGGTCTTTTTCCTGGGTCCCATTAAGTGTTGTCCAAAATCCAGCGAGCACTGCATGCTATGGGGGTGTAGCAATGGGATTTAAACAAGTTTGCTCAGCATGGTTACAGCTGGGCAGTTGGTCTAGGAAAAGCAGCTGGGAAGTTCACTCTTTTTCTTCAGCCAGCCTGTCTCAAGACAGAAATTTCAAGTCATTTAGAAATCTGTTCCATGAGATAGTTTTGACTTTTCTTTTTTTCTAGATCCCCAACTGGAACAACAATGTCAGAAGAACATCTCTTTATATGAAGCATGAAAAACTATATTGTAATTTTCAAACTGACAGAACTTGGGGACTTCTTAGAAATCATATTATATTTAATTTCATTTCGTTTTGCTTGAACTTAGCCCAAAGGTTTCCTTTTAAGTCTGATTGACACTAAGCAATATTCATACAATGTACTGCTCACAGGAATTGTTCATGGAAGTGTTGTTTGTGGAATCAGCATCCCAAAATAAACTACATCCTCCCCCAGTGCAATGTGCACCCAGCTAAACAAGATCTGTAAATATTATTCTTAAACTGATTAAATATTTCCCATATTTGTGAAACCTAATTGAAACAAATCTGTTGCTTAGGTTTCCCCAGTATGTAATCAAACAGTGTTCTTCCTGAAGGAAGTTAGTAATTTTTCAGAAACTGTGTTTCAGAATCTGTCCTTCTTTTTCCCCTTTTCTCAGGCTTGGAGGTGAACAGCAGATCCACCAAGGACAGTGTGCAGGAATCAGAGTGATGTTCTCTCTCATGGGAAGAGGAAGGTAAGAACCAGTAGCTTTAAAAAAATTATTAATATCAGCAATGGGCGGGAAAGAGGTGTGGGGTGCTCTTGGACCCCACACCTGACGTTTGTGGTAGCTGGCATTTGCGGTAGTGGGCATATCCCTGTTGTTATTTAACAAGAAAGAGAGGGGCTTTCTATTTTAGAAGGAGAAAAAGATGCTTTGTGCATAGATTGAGGTTCTGTACAGACTTCTGCCGCTCCTGAGATAACTTCATCCCAAACTCTGCTCCTCATACAGCCATACAACAACTATACCAGGGCAGAGCCCTCCGTGGGAGACAACAGCCTGTAAACTGCTGGGACTACCAGAGAACACCACAAACACCATAAACCACCGGAAGGAGCCCGCCAGCTGCAGAAAGGCAGCAAGAGGATCAAAAGAGCAACATCCCAGGTACAAACAGTGAGATCCTACTGAGCCCAGGCCAGCAGCCACCCACTGCATGCTCCAGTGGGTTTAGAAATCCCATCCTGTGCAGCAGCTCCTACACGCCTGAGCTCACTGCACTGCAAAGAGAGCAAGGGAGCATTTAACACCCTCAGTCTGCAAGGCACAGACAGGAGGTGGTAAATACCTTGATAAGGAAACTGCAGTGAAAATACCAGCTTTAGGCAATCCAGATTTTATCAGGGAAGTATGCAGGGATGAGTAACTACCTGACATGCAGATGTACCTATGCACAGTGCCAGCAGTCTGCCAGTCCACACATCTGGCCTCAGGCATCATGCTCACATTTTCAAACCCATGTGATTTGGGGGTACACTGGGGTGGGAAGATTTTTGCATGGAGTTCTCACTTACACAATGTCAGTGCCCAAAAGGAATCTGCAGCTCTGTGTCTGGGATAAGATATAGATTTGATGCTGGAGATCTTTTTTTTTTTTTTTTTTTTTTTTGATATAGGAAGCTGCTTGGCTTCTTAATGCTATTAATAGCTCTTCTTGGCAATGGCATACATTTCACAGCATGGGAATCCATGTGTGACAGGTGACAAAAGGACCCTGGAATACAAGGGCCCAGCAAAGTCCTGAAGAAATGAATATTGTGTATTGTTCAGTAAATGAGTGGCGTCTTCTGGCCCATAAATGTCAGCATGAGACCTAGACAAGATCTGTGTCTGGTCCCATCACAGTCTGTGCAACATAAATCACAAATTTGGTTAGAGTGGTTGGAAACTGAAGTACTGCAAACTGTCTTTGGGGCGCAATGTGTATATTTGCACTTGAGGAGATAGGGGAATGGTCTTAGGGCAAGAGGAGCTCGGAGCTAGACCTGGCAACGTGAACCAGGAGGAAGGAGAGACAGCTTGCTGGATTGATAAGGGGCTGGGGCAGCGCTCGCAGCTCTGCCATGCCAGGGGCTCGGCTGCTGACGGGGTGGGGATGGACTCTTCCTGGGGTGGTGCTTAGTGTGGCTAATGACAACCAGAAGTAGGAGAGAGAGGCCCAGGAATGGATAAAGAATAAATTGGCTGCACTATGTACAGAGAGGGCCAAACAGATGTTGGGCCTGATCCAGAGCCCATTGAGTTAATGGAAAGGCTCCCTTTGGTTTCGTTGGACACTGTATCAGACCCATTACAGCTTCGCAGGAAGCAGTGGAGACCAAGAGTAATAACTTGTGGTGACTGGAGTGGTGTGTGTTGCATAGGTGTGGGCTGTGAGGTTTTCATGGTGAAAACAGATGGGTCTTCAAGACCTGTCCATTTGGCCTGGCTAACCTTCCTGCCTCGCCTCCCCCACCTTATGGGAAGCAGTCTCATGCGGTTTTGGTCCTCTGGCCAACATTTTGGCATGATTTTGTGCAGAAGTGCCCTTCTCCCTTCTGTCTTCCCCCTCCTTCTTGATGAGGTTCCGCTGTGATCCTGTGGTGTCCCAGAGCTGAGAGACCAGTGACTTGAGCTGTCCGCAGAGAAGGAAGGAGCAAGGCCTGCTGAGGACCGCTGACCAGGGAGGATTTTTGTTGTGGACCAACAAGAAACATAATGTAAAGCAGGTGTTTCTGCAGTTGTGAGACATTTATAAAACCAACATTATCCAACAAGTCTCCCACTCACATTCTCATCCACATGATATGGCAAGGTCTCACACGAAGGACTGCAAATAGAAAACATCTCTTTGTACTAGTTGGCTTGCAACCTGCACTAGGGCCTCTCTCCCCTTCTGCTGTCTGTGCTTTTCTGTTTATTTAGGTGTGTGCTTTTGTTTCTGTTTTTACGTTTAGCACAAGTGGAAAGGAAATGGAATTTTGTGCAGCTTAGGAGCCTGAGAGCACACTGTGTTTGGATCTTGGGCCTTTATTTGTCCTCATGCCATAGGTGCAGGTGTTCACAGGCCAGATCCTCCACCAGTAGAAACTGCCCCAGCCTCCAAGAGAGCTCCCTCCATCTGGCCAACACATTTGAGGAGGTTTCTGATATCCAGAGGTGCAGACACAGGGCAAACTTAGGCCAAATTGTCTCATAAACCCCTAAACGGGGGTGAGAACTTGCAGCTGAGCAGCAGCCATTTTCTCCTGGTGACAGTACCAGGAGGGATGGATTGACCATTGCATACAGAAATGTGTCAGCATACTGTAGAGGCTGGTTCATTCAGGGTCATTACTTTATTGGAAATGTAAATTTGGGAAAAGTTTAATTTAGTCCATTTTGTAGAGAGGCAGGGAAGTAAATTATCAGGGTAATGTCAGGTCTCTTTCAGGACAGCCCCTACCCAAACACAGATAGCTTTGTTCCGTATCTTTCTGTCAGCGAGGGAAATGTTCATGGTGGAGTGGGATTCACTTGTATTGCTGAGAGAAAAAGCTTTGTCTTTCTCCTATGAGAAACTCTGCTCTGAATGGGGCTCATAGTTCACAAAGGTTGTATAAGGTAGAGCTTGCTCAGCATCAGGACCACTATACTGATTTATCCCAACTGAAGACCTGCCCCGGTGTTCCTTCACATACCCATAGTCCGCAACTGGATTTTCAATCATCCATTAACAAGCTGTATTCATGTAGGTTTCATTCCTAATGTGCCCCTTTGCGTGCACATTACTGCTGGTTTGAGCAAGGGAACCCATGCTGGCACTGGTGTGCACACTGCAGTGGGGCTGGGCTTGGCTCAGGATGAGCTGGGTTTTAGGTACATAGCAGGTCAAAGTTGTGACCCTACAACAACCAACATCCAGAATAAAATCTGTCACTCTTAACAATAATAATGCACTTCTAGCCCTGTTTAAAAAAAAAGGTGGTACTGAAAAAAGCCACTAAACTTTTAGTGTGAGGTAAGGGTCAGTGTATGGCTGGATAAATAGTCTGGCAGAAAGGTTGTGTGGCAATTTGGCAATTGTACCACAGCACAGCTGAAGGAGGATGCCTGAGCCCTATGTTCTAGTCCTCTTTTTAACCATGCTGGCTTGTTTACGTTTGGGTGGTAGATGGGTGTATCCCTTACTCCAATTTTTGGCTCATATCTGTCCACTTGGATGTCAATGTAAACTGCTGCAATTATATCCTAATCGTGTCCCGCTATTGGAAATGATTAGTCTGTTCGTGTTCCATAAATGCTGGCTGGCTTCACCTGGCAGTGGCTGGGAATTGTCATGGCAGATATGAAAGGCCAGAGAACATAGGGATTCATAACTTTATGTGAGCTACAGTGTTTTCCAGGTGGCAAAGCCTAACAAGACTATTCTATTGAATTTAGATATAAACAGGATGCTGGAGGAGAAATGTCAGCTTCTAGACTGGGATTCAGGTAGCAATAGAGCGCACAGGTATTTTGAGGCAAGGGCTGTCTTACTTTGCTGTCTCATTCAGAAAGTTAATTTCTTATTAAAATAAGTCACGGTGTTATGGGGGATTTTTTTAATTTCAGATTAAAGTTCATAAATATCCAGATTTTATCATTAAATGGCACTTCCCTTTCCCACCTCCCCACCATGGCAGCCTTTGCTCTTCCATACCTACCAGTTCCAGTGGGTGGAACTGGATGTAAAACGTAGCCAGTGTATTAACTTCAAGGCTATTTATTCTACAAGAGAGCTCTAATTCCAAATAACACCGATGCCAACCTTTTTTTTTTTTTTCCCCAGCACTCAGGCATACAACACACTTTCCTCTATTGGAGCTCATCATTCCATAACTCCAGAAAATGCAATATAAACTTTGGCTACTATGCATGCTTCAATTTGAAAACACAGCAGTGATCTGGGATTTTAATTCAAGCAAATTTGAAAGTGGATTAGAAATAGGATCCAGCTGCATCTCTAATAGTCAAAAGACAAATTAGCAGAACATTGGAGTTGAAATGAACTCCATCTTTCTTTTTGCATTTTCCCCCCTTTTGCTTAGACCTAAAATACCATAATTAAATTGTCATTTGTTCCTTACCTTGGTAGAAGCTCTCCCCAGCTGAACACATCTCAGTTTCCATCCTAAACATTTACCTACAGCACAGGGTTGGGGGAGGATGGGGTTATTACTTGTTTGAAGAAATTAGAAATCAGAGGTATGCACAGCCTGTCTGTTATAGTCTTCAGCGTGCGTGTTGCCAGGCTCTACAGGTTATACATCATTAGCGCACAGAGTGTCCAGGAGAGCCCAAAGCTTGTGCAGGTGTGTTGGCAAAGCTCACACCACTTCCCTCCCTCCTCCCTCTCTGCTGCACTTCCAGCAAGCCGATACTTGAAACTCGATGTGGCAAAATCGCAAAGAGCTCTTCTAAACTTTGTTAGCTCGAAGCTCACCCAGCAGACGTGACTGTGAGATGGCGCGTGGAGCCTGGAAGAGACTCACTGGAAAAACAAAACCATTGAGTCAAAAGTTTAGTGTGTTTTTCCATGATTGTATGAAAAGAAAAAAAAAAAGTGCATGTGTGTTTTTTTAAGCACTTTCAGATATTAGAAGTTTAGTGAACACAGAGACAGTTTCTTCTGTTTTTTCTTTTCCCCTGCCCTTGAACTTTCGGAATGACTATAGGGAATATATTCCAGCCTGTTTTCAATGACCCATTCATATGGTGGTTTTATTTCAGCTTTTCCCAAAAGGGAACAAGCTCCATTCTATCTCTGCTCCTGGCATTAGCTGCCATTATTTGTGCATCCCACTCAGATAATCAATAAAGTGGATGGCATCTGAAAATAATTATGTACACAGCTCTTCCCCCACTTCCAAGACGGAGACAGAAGCTGGGAAAGGAGCCTTTGCATATTCAGCACTTGTTAAAGGAATGAAATATAGCGTTGTGTGTTATTATTGTATCCCGAAACCTGGGCATTCAGCAGCAGTTCCTTTTGACTCTGGCCACACAGCACCTGATCACAAAGCTAGTCATCCTTGCTATCTTCCTTGGCTTTGCTAGAAAAGTTGCCCTGTCTGCTTGCACGGCATGCCAAAGAGCAAGAACTGTCAGATGGGTCTCAAATGTACCAGCAGTGGCTGTGGCCTCCCTCGGGGAGGAAGGATCTAGCTGCGTCCAGTACCCTCCTTTGTTTAGGAGACACCATCGCAGTTGCATTTTTACAACCAGATGTTCTGGCCCCAAGCAAGAGCTTGGTGACAAGTGGGTGGCCTGTGCAGGGCGTGGTGTCTCTCTGTAGGATGGGATGAGATTTTCCAGTGAAAATCATGTTCAATCCTGAGCTAAAATGGTGAGGCTCTGCCTTTATACTGCTCATGGCAAAGTCACCAATGTCCCTACGGCTGTCGCTGCCAAGGGACCTGATTCAGGTTCTCCATTACCTGTTGGAGTTCTACCGGCCAGGGAAATAGGTGAGTCACCTCATTTGAGACGATATTTAATGACTATCTTAGGAGGTTTGCAGCTTCAGCCTCCCTTCTTGCAGTGGCTAAGAGGAGCCATTGGCAGGAACCTGAGCATTTCCAATGCAACCTGCCCAAACAGCAGCAGGTACCAGCACCAGGCCTCCGAGCCGAGCAGGTGCTAGGAAAAGGAGAGGCATGGATTTTGCCAGGGCACGTTGCAACTGCAGTGTAAGGCTTTCTCTGTTTAGTCCTTCAGCTCTGGAGGAGCTTCATGCAGTGCTGTCACAGCGGGGACTTGATCCTGGCTGTGGCCCTAGACAGTGCCAATAACACTGCTTTTATTCTTCTTTCCTGAGAGTCTCCTCATGGCCTCTGCTGAAGACAAGAAGAGAGATGAGGTGCAGCAGTGGTCTGACCCAGCGTGGCCCTTCCCAGATATTTCATTTATACCTTTCTCTCTTCCACTGCAGAGTCAGGAAGAAAGCCGTGACTCTGCAGCCAGGAAAACCTGTAATGTCTGCAAGGGCTTATGGCTGGGGACATCGGAGTTTGGCAGCTGCCTCCCCAGGAATGAGCTGAGGACACTGAGCAGTTCCCTGCTCCCAGCTGTTGGGTGCCAGCAGAGCTATTTCACATATCCGGAAAGCAACAATTACAAGGGAGCAATTATTTTTTGCCACTACTACAGGGTCACTGCTATCTCCTGATCTAGGCAGCCAGCAGAAGTGTTTGTTCATGGCTTGCTCCATTGTCCATCCCCAGCTTTTCTCCATGGCAGTACATTGTTTGAGATGTTGTTTAAATCCTCCTGCCAGTCCCAACAATGCCTCACGCAACCCCAGCATGTCAGGAGCTTTGAGGCCACAGAGAAACCAAGCCTGCTCAGCCCAGCACTGTTTGTTGCGAAGTGTTTGCTTAGTGATTAACTCATGCACGGACATACACAGCCACAAATCTCCAGGTTGTCTCACAGCCCTTTCATTCAATTAAGTCTGTTGACTTAGTCTCATTTTGAGCAGTAACTGGATTTAGATAAGGCAGTGGAAACCAAAACATCAATTGTGTGATTTCTGGCCCAGCCGGTATGCTGATCTGAGGGGAATGTTTGTGCGGGTGATAACCGAGGTAGCACAGTGATTAGGACAAAGTCATTTCGTGCAGGGCTCTGTAAAGTAAAATCCGCTCTGCATTAAGTACCAGCACGGGCCACAGGGAACCAAAGGGAGCTGCTTGCCTCTGGAGACTCACTCGATGTGCTGTGCTGTGACCAGCAGCTGGCAGTGGGGAGGTCGTGGTCTGTCTGCAGGAGCAGCCGTGGCAGGGCTGGGGCAAAGGGGCTGTGCTGGAGCCCAGCTGATGTAACCCTGACCGCTCCTCTGAAGCCACAGATGCAGGGAGGTAATCATTGGGATTCAGACAGTTACTTTTTCTCAGCAGTAGCCTAAAGTTATTCCGGGATCATTTCTTCCCACGATCTCAAATTTACATTCAGTTCCTAATGGAGTTGGTTTGTCCAGCTTGAACCAGCCCTCCTCACACACATCCCTAGGAGGAGGAAATGCAGATGGCACAGAGTCAGCATCTCCACTCCTTATGAGTCAGGTGGCCCAGACAGAAAAATCCTCTACTCTACAATGGGTGATGGCTCCCTGTATCAGAAAAGGAAGATATTCTATTTGCAAGCATACGTTTTTGTGATAGCCTCCTGTGTCTTCTACTGGTGACACACTACAGTGAGAAAGCATACTGGGAAACATACATACATATTTGTCAAATGCATATTTCAGTGCATGACTTTTTTGGTTGCATTCTTTTCCATGTTACTGTTAAGCTAATGGGGAACATGGTTTTTAGGCATTCCTGATGTCCTGAAGATTTTCAGCAAGATTTGTGGAGGAACAGAGCAAGAAAAGCTAGCCAGAAGACATTGCTTCCTGTGCACATCAGACAAGGTACGCTGTTAGAAAGATAGCAAATATCACCTTTCTCTTTCTTCTTTTCCATGGTAGGGAGGGTTTTTTCCCAAATTATCCTTTTCCCTCTGACATTCATCTGTCAATAAAGAGATCATTCTAGCTTGTTGCACTTTGCTGATGGAAACTGAAAGGGGGGGACACATACATTGTTCAAAGCAACGGGCAGCGTGCAGCCTTGGAGCACATATTCCTTCAAACAGTACAGCTTCACCACGGGAGGAATGTGTTGCTTCAGAGAACTTCTCTTCCCAGGTCCTCCCACCTTGCTTGTTTCTCTTTTGGGCCATGCAGCACTTTTCTTAGAGTTAACGTTTTAAAACCAGTGTTTACTGAGAAAAGCGCTGAGCCCATGTGCATGCCGTGGGGTAGGAATGGGGAGGAGGTGCTGAACACCTCCAGACACCGAGCCAATATTTCATGTCACCGCTCTGGGCTTGGAACGAGAACCACCACAACCAGCTTCAGCCATACCACTATGTGCACTCACAGTCACGCTTATTATTAGACCTTCCTATGGGGAGTACAGCACGCTGGCACGTGGGCAGAGGGTGTTTTAGTGCCTTCAGACACTGCTCAGTGTTTCCATCAGTGACTCGGATGACAGAGTGCTTTTGGCCTCACCGCCTTGCTCCCTGTGCAGACGCCCTCAGCCTGTGACTGGTTTTGTCCCAGCTGCTGCCACCAGAAGCAGGACAAACACATTAAAGGGTGCTTGCTCTGGGCTGCAAGGCAGTGGCTGCTGCAATGCCATCGCCCAGCGGCACAGCTGCAGAGCTGTGCCCAGGCTCGGCGGGTGAGCACAACGCAGTGTGCAGCTCCTGGGACCCAGCAAGTGGCTGGGCACATGTGTACACACACACAAACACTTAATTGTTGGCAACTTAGCATATATTAAACATCTTCTGGTAGTGATGAAAGATGGCATCCTCCCAGAGTTTTGCATACCTGTGAGCTAATCAGCCCTTTGTGTGAAAGCGTAGGTGGGGACTCTTCTAACAATACAAAGCTGATTAGCTCATCATCTTGGCTTTAGGGGCATACTGATGTGCCCATCCTGCTTTTAGAGCTATGAATAATCTGGCTTCACTGCCGTCTTCTTATAAAAAAAAGGAGAGAGTGTAGTTTCAGGGCTTGGTACTCAAGCCTGTTTCTCAGTACAGGTGATGAGTAGGTATTCGCCTATTATTCACTGGTATCACTCTTGGCTTCAGGTCTCCTTTGGACAACTGTTGGTATCAGAAATGATATCTATCTGACAGAAATAATTGCTATTTTTCAGCCATTGGTTGGAATAACACTCTTGCAGATTAGGTAGGAGTGATTCACTGTCAAACTGAGAAGGTGCACCAACAGGAGCCTGTGGCGGTCACTGTTCATTTACATCTCTCTGTTAATGGTTTGGATGGTGGAGCAGACAGGGCTCTCACAGTAGGATAAAACAATGAAATAGGCTGGAAGGTCCCTCCCTATCTGTGGGAGGGGAAGGGGATTTATTTTAAATGTTCTCAACAAACTTTAGAAACAGTCTTACATGAAAAAGAAAGTGCATAATCAAAATGCACATAGGCACCTGGTCTTGGTACTGGAATTATGCACGGGGAGCTGGGAGAGGAGAAGCTCAAAGTCTGGCATGTGATGCTGTGGCCAGAAAGATACTTGTTATTAGGACAGGTATTTAGAGCACTCCTCGTGGGGAGGTCATTGTGGCGCTGGAGAAGCCCAGACCAAAGATCTGCGCTCCCAACTTTGAGTAAAGATGCAAGCACACAGGGAAGTCTGGAGGAGAACAGCAGAACTGATAAGACTTTTCAGAAAAAAATATGACCTGAAAGGAATTGTTTTTTTAATTAGGTTTGCTTAGTCTAGAAAAGACAGAGGACAGCTAGGAGAGACTGCACATGTGGGGACAGTAGCTGATAGGGGTATAAAAGGATATGGTGGTCACTGGGTCTGTCTGCATGGGGAAGAACAGGATCTAATTGGCTTTATTGGCAGCAAACAGAGGAGGTAAGAGTTCAGGAAAGCTTTATCCATAAGGAAAGGGAGACACTAGCACTGATGTGAGGCATTGGGATCTCCACCACTGGGAAATCCCAAGAGTTTAAACAAAAGTACAAGAGGAATGGTGTGGGCACAGGCACAGAAAGATGCAGGAGGGTCTCTCCATATCTACTTGCCTTTGGTTAAGCCCGTTCTTCAGAGATTGTTGCTTTGGTGGTGGTAGCAGGAGGCACGTGGGACACAAGTTGCTAAAACAGAAAAGATGTTGATAGGGAGGTATGTTTGCACAGAACATGTTGATAAGACAGGAAAAATGTTACCGTTGTCAGAAACAAGAGCCAGCAGTTTTAGATGTTCTACTTCAAAAAAAAGTACATTTCAGGAAAATGGATCCTTTGGCAAAGCATCATCTTCTATTAAACAAAACATTTAGATGGAAAAATTTGCAATGAGCTCTGTAGATTAGCAGCCCAGAAATATCACAAGACACCTGAAGTGCAATTGCTGATACTGGAGGTGGTTACTTTTTGCCATTTGGGATTAAGCAGAGGTAAGACAGCAGCTCTGTATGGAATGGAAAGGTGGATGGAGAGATTCTCAGGGGAGCCTGGGAGAAGCTTCACCTGCAAAAAAGGGCAGCGCAAGAACAAGTATGCAGAAGGGCTCTGTGCAGTAACGTGCCAAATTAAGGGGGAAATGGTATCTTTCACAAAGTCGAGGAAGGGCTGCGGTTAAGGGATGAGAGTCAGAAACCCAGCATTCAAAAACTGCCAGTTCTCACAAAGCCTGCCCTTATATGTACTCCGTCCAGGAAACTGGTTAGTGGGATGTGAAACTACCATATGTTTTTGCAGATGCTACAAGTATGTGTGTTTTCCTTACGTATATATGCTTTATACCCACTTTTGAAAATGGGTCAAAGCCTTCCAGTCCTCCAGCATAAAAACTCTGGAGAGTTTACAGATCCGAGATGCCATGATTACTGTTTCTGGACAGTAATTTCGCTTTCCCCTATTGAGGCTTGGAAAAACAGGGAAGAGTGCAAAAGGAGATCCACACCAAAGATCAAGGCAGGCACATCTGCCTGGCTGTCAGATTTCACGCCAACAAACTGGAAGAAAATTAAAAAATCCAGGCCAGATCTGGTCCTTGCTCTGGAAGTACAAAGAGGTCTGAAAGGCTCCTACACAGGCTTGGCGTAAAACCACCACAGAAACTCCTGTTTTTCTCTGCTCTTGCTATCCTTTCAATACAAAAATGCCAAGTGAATACGAAGGAATGGCTTCTTCTGGTTAAAATCATCTTGGGTTTGTATTACTTGAGTGAAGAGGTGGTTGCAATGTCTACCTCAGCCCACCACAGCTCACTAGCAGCTCTTCCCAACACTTCAAGTCACAGGCTTACAGCTTCAATCAACAGTCCTGCAAGTGTAGGAGCTGGGGGACCACTAATGCTCAGAAGGTGGGTTTTTCACCAAAGCCCTGGGAGACTGGCACCCTGAGACACCATCAGGTGTGGAGGATGAGCTACCTTCATCATCAGCTTGCTCTTACATTCAGCTTTCCAGCACAAAGAGCCCCAAAAGGCTCTGCAGTGGGGGCAATATGACACTGCCAGATGATTGCACATTGCCTCTTAATACGACGCAAATTGTGTTGTTTGTACGCCATTACTCAGTTCCAAATTACAAGCCTTATCTCCCAGGAAGCTGAGGACGGCTCTATAGTTTTAGAAACCTCATGGTAAAAGGGTCAGGTTTTAAATATAGGGTTTTCCAGAAAGACTATCTTAAAAACATAGTGCTGTTCAAATCCTCTGCTTCCTTTAATGCTATTTTCAGGTTGTTGTTTTTCAAATTAAACATTAGGCTTAGCAACATGCATGAGATGTTAGATTAAAGGGACACTGCTTGGGTTTTCCATCTCAGTCTAGAAATAGCTATTCCATGGGTGGGCCAGGTGAAGTCCACCAAGGTTATTGTCGCCTGACTTCCCCCGGATTTCTGGGTGGGGGAGAGAGAGGGGTGACTGGCAGCTTGCAGAAAAATCTGGCCAAGAGCATTGGGCCACATCCTTTGCTGAGGTAAATCAACATCATCTGAGTGGCATTTCTGGAACCATGACTATTTTCATCGGGATCAGGCCTTTTACATATGGTGAGGAAGTGGTAAAGATCACAAAGGGAAGGAAAGATATACATGCATGGCAAAAAGCTATGGGGTTTTCCTATGTAGGTGGTGTCATTTTCTCTAAAGAATTAAAGCGTGGCTTTCCCAGCACTCGTTCCCTTTAAGGATGCACGCTGAGCAGCGCGTCCCGATAAGACAACAAGCACAGATGCCCGGAGGAAGAATACTGTTGTTGTGAAGACACAGGCCCGAAAGGCAAAATGTCTGGATTTTATTTGCAGCTCTGCCACGAACTTCCTGGATGATCGTAGCCAAGTTAACCAGGTCCGTTTTTTTTTTTTCAGGCAGAGTCTGTGCCCTCCCTGCATATGCATGAAGCCCACATCGCCTTTCAGGACTTTGTGCAGAAGTCCAAGAAGCACAAAGCTGCAAAGAAATGCTGCCGCCTACATGCTGCCCCAGTTTCCCCAGGCAAAGGGTGATGATCTGGTGAAGCCACTGAATCCGTGCCAGCAGGGATTTGGATCCAGAAGCAGGCAAGAGCATCAGAGCAGCTGTGCTGCTCTGGATCAAAGCCCACCATCCGATGGCCCGTCACTGGCAGCTGGTGGAAGCAAGTGCCCAGGGAGGAGAACAAAAAGCAGGGTGAGCAGAGCTAGACATCCACACTGTGCTTTCCTGGCCTCTAACCACTCGAGGCAGGGGGACTTGCAGAGCTAGGAGTGGTTTGTGTGAACTTAGCAACCCTCGAAGGATTTCTAAACCTGGGAGCATGAGTTGTCCAGGACAAGCTCTCGGAAATGTTTAGCTTCCTTGGTGCAGGGCTCATTTGTTCAGCTCTGCGTCAGACCTACTGGGTCACACGGGGCTTTTGTAGCTGCTACAAAGGAGAGCCTTCCCTTCACTGTGTCAGCTCCCTGCCGCTCAGGAGGAAGTGATGCTGCCTGCCAGGGGGTTGAGGCTAAACACACTGATGTTTCCTCATGCCTTGGAAGGGAAGAGAAGTCTGGAGAGAATTATTGTTGTGATGTATAGGAGCTTTGCCAGCACAATGCCCTGTAATAACAGCTACTCTTCCTTCAGGTCATTAAGTTACAAATTTTTTAGTACTCTTGCTCATGACAAGTAGATCCCAGGTTTAAAGAGATGTTTTCTTCCTCTTTCCTTTTCCTGACTTTCCAAATATATTTTGCAGATTTTCTTTTTTTTTATGGCAGTGTATCCAAATCTCCCTGTTCAATTTTTCTTCCAGATCTTTCCTCAGAGCCAAAAGGCTGTAACCAGATAACCAACACATTTGTTCCCTGTCTCCATGGCTCAGCAAAGCATTAGGAGATCCTCTGAGGAGCACTATAAATGCTGAAACCAGATTCAGAATGAAGGTCTACCTGCTCTCAGAGACAGTCTTGCAGCTGCTTTGTCCAGCCACGAGCAAGCTGCACCCTGGAAGCCACAGAGATGAGGTACAGTGGTGCTGGTTCCAAGCTTTCCCCCCAGCTCGTGGTGGGGTTCATACACCTGGGCTCCAAATGGTGTTAACATGGCTACACAGCTTTGGTGTGGAGATGGCTTTTGTCCAGTTGGCTGAGAAGGGGGCTGGATTGACAGACAGCTGTTTGCATCGGCTGGTGTAGACATGCCCAAATTCTCCTAACATACTACTGAAGGGTACTCAGATATTACAGTGATGAGGGCAGTCTGAGAACCTGTTTAGACCAGAACATGGGTTTCAGTGGCAGTTTTCTGGCTGATTAATTGGGTGACTTTGTGCAAGTCTCGACTTGCTGTTGCCCTATCCAATAAATGGGAATAGCAGCATTTGCTTCCCTTCGTAAAACACTTTGAGGTCTATGGATAATCCTCCTCCTTTTTCCCACCCATGATGATGGGACCAAGTGGAATCTTACGACACACCGAGTTTCTGTGGTCTAGCATTTGCCAAGCATTTGAAAATGACTCTTTGGCTTGAGTTTATTATTGAGTCTGTGATTGCCACGTGATTTCTCATGGAAGCTCCTAGTTTAAATCAGGTCACTAAACAACCAAAAGTGCATGGGATTAGGAGGGAGACTGAAGTAGTCATCAGGAATCTACAGATCCATGATGACCTAAGCGTCCCGCCTGGAGCACCCTGCAAGTGGTAACCACACATCAGTAATTTTGTCAATAACCAACAACATTTTGTGGTTCAAAGATCTGCAAACATTTAAGAGTGGAAAACTCTAAATAGGAGAAGATTTCTCCTTAACACCACATTGCTCTCTCCATTACCCAGTAAGTTGTGCATGCAGTAGACACAACTAGAGAAGGATGTCTTCGTAGGGCATTTGGAGGTGTTCTCACAACCTAATGTTCAGCATGTGGAATTCAAGGACACTACTGCTGTGGACAACTGATTTTTAGGACACATTTTATCTTTCCTTGGGGTTTTCCTTGACCAGGGATGTTTTCTCATATGCTCGATATATGTTCTTAGGTCTCACCCCTTCCAGGTCCCAAAGGGATGTGTTACCGAGGTTATGCTATTTTTTACAATGACCTGAAAGAAAACTTAAATCATCACAAATAAACCTTACAGATGAGTTGGGAACTGAAGAAGAGAGTAAGTAGTTAAGAAAAGAGGTCACAGACAGAGAGATCTTCCCAAAGAACATTGTGAGGCTGTATGTGAGACTTGAAGAGCTAGGAAAGAGATTTATATCATGCAGCTCGATCTAATGAGCTTACAGAAGAGAGGCTAAAGGATGGCTTGATCACAATCTCTAAGGGCTCACAAGAGGAAGAGAAACATGGAAATGAAGTAGATGTATACAGAAATACTGCAGCTAAAACTTAAGCTCAACTTTTTTTTTTTTTTTTCTTTTGGGGGGATAGAGCAATAGCTAAGTTCAGAGCTATTTCTTTTTTGGGTGAGCAGGAGCAATAGCTAATTTCAGAGCAATGCTCCAAGGCGTCTGCAATAGCTCCTGTAGTCCCCAAGCAGGTGGGGGCAGGTGTTTAAAAACATACAGTGTAGTTCAAAGAGGAACAAACTGGAGGGTGTCTGGAAGCCCTTGCCAGATGAGGTGCCAGATTATGTGGTCTTCCCGAGTCATACAGGTAGTGAACCACTTTGTTTTGGACTTCTTCAGCCACAGTAATTTAAGAGAATGCCACATCTTGCCACGTATCAAACAGAATTAGTAAGGGGAAAAGTCTTTTGAGAAGAAAGAGCATTTAAAAGGCTCTCAAATCCAGATAGCTTGAGGTATCTGAGGTAGCTTGAGCTACCTCCTCTCTTGTCCTTTGCCTCAGCCATATCATTATGAGATGACAGCATCAGAGTTACCTGCGAGAATTTCTTCCTTTCAATTGCTTTAAAAAAAAATAAATAATAACATAAAAAGAGTCCATCAATGATTACAAATAGAAGACTGGTGTATGAGCTACTGAGATATCCCAGAGCAGCACTTAGGGTCTGCTCCTCCGTTTGAAGAGAGAAGTGTGGGGGGACTCTGCTCCCAGCTGGGCTGGACCCAGTGGCTGCGTATTTATGAGTCCTATCAGATACCATCTGTCCATACACAAGCTATGTTTTACTTATAAAGTAAATTACATTACATGGCCTATAATGTACGTTTTCAAAGGGGACCCACCTTAAAAACATTTTGTTTAATAAAATAACTTAATTAGAAGAGAGCTTCTGGCTGATGTGGTTGAGGCTGTGATAATTTTTCCTTCTCAAATCATTTTCTCTGTTTATTATACTTAATTATAGTGTAATTATGTATCCATCCTCTAGGCAAATTATGCAATCAGAAAATGTGAGTGGTTCATTTGCCACTGCATTTGGAACCAGTGTTTACATCCCTAGTATAAAATATGGGCATCATTTCTATTATTTATAGTATATATGGATATGCATATATATAAAAGATGTTTCACACAGAATGAAGCATTGGTGTAAAGATTTTATTGACAGTCATTTTTGCATCATCCAACTAATTCATTTGTGGCCTGCTAATACTAAAACCATCCAAAGCTCAAAGTAGTAAAATCTTTATACCCTACCAGGAATTTTCTCAAACATAAATCCTGCGCAGCTGAGGAACATAGAAGTTCCTCGGTTTAGCCTCAGTTTTGGGGGGTGGATAATTATTACTTTTAAGAGTTCTTTTTTGCATTTTACTTTTTAACTTTCTGGCCAGAATTTCCTAGCACAGCAAGAGAGGAAGGAACCCTACAGTATTCAGTTACGGGCTGTAGATTTCTGTTCAAGTCATGAGTTCAGACTAACCTTTTTGTCCCATGTGCTTCATGAACTTTCTAGCCGTGGCAGCACTGACTTTTAAAGGCTAGGCTGCTCTCCCTCTTTTTTTTTTTTTCTTGATGGGAATTGACAGATTGTGGTTGAACGTAGTGAAAGACGAAGCCAAATGTCCAAACTTTGAAAAACCTTTTGAGATTGATGTTTTCTCCTTCCTTGGCCAGCTCTCAGCGCAAATTCAACCTGGATTTCCTCTTGGCAATTTCAAGCTCTCTTCGTGTGCTTATTTTGCAGAGATGGGGCCGCTCACACCAGTGGAGCAGGAGGGGAAGAAAATGCTTCTGTGGGTGAAGCTCGGCCCAGTCCTGTTGGCATCAAGCGGACGTGTTTGTTATAGCTGGCAGAGAGGTGAGCCATCCCTACAACATGGCAAGCCTGCCTAACTGTCACCAGGCCAACCCCACAGCTGATGGAAATCTGGGTAACTATTTGATCTGCCCCATTTTCCCCATGCTGGGGAGCTGGTCCTACCTCTCCCGTTGTCGCTCATCTGCATAGTGTTCTCCACGAGTGTCTTGCAAACACACCTTTGCAGGAAATAAAAGGCCTTGACGTGGTCTAGCTTCCACCTCGTTCCCTGCAGGCAAGCTGGTATTATTATGAAGAGCCAGAGTTTCTCAGCCACGTAGGCAAAATTGAATTTTGCCACACCACAGCTGAAGAGCCAGGACCTGCCTGGAGAGCGAGCGGTGGGGAGGTCGGGGCAGAGACGGGCTGGGTGGGGAGAGCTGTGAGTGTGGGACCCAGGGACTGGGGTGATGGGAGAGCTGGGGGTGGCAGTCCAGGCCCCTGGCTGGAGATAGGAACCGGGACTGGAGAAATAAGATGATTTCTGATCCTCCTCTCCAGCCCTGCAGCTCCCCCATGTCGACAGCGGCCTCAAACACCCTTTCCACCTCCCCACCCTTGAAACACAGCCACTGCTCCATTCCTCTCCCTGGGAGGGGTGCTGTCAGTTGTGGTCTCTGAGGGAAAGGCGCTACCCCAGCCCGCCTGGGATAAAGCAGTGGAGTGCAGAATCAAAGCCCAGATCCAGGCAGATACTTTGTGGTAACTTAAGATCCAATAAAAGTCCGGGAAGATTTTCAGAGGAGCCACCAAACTTTCCCAAGTGGTGGTGTTCCTCCATCCTAACCCACTGACCCACTGGGGAGCTGCCGGTCCTGGCAAGTCCCCGTGCACAGCAGGTAGGATGAGATGTGCTAACAGCTCCCAGTCTGCAAGCACGCAGCAGCTCTGCAGAGCACTGAAGGACCACAAGACCAGGCACTGACTCAGTCCACGGCGAGCAGGCATGTCCCCAGAGCAGGATGAGATGGGAGCAGTAGGTACGTAAGATGTTTTTGTTTTTTTCCTGATGTTATCCCCATTTTCCCAGGTCCCAGCTTCAGACAGCCGTCTGCCATCCGCTTTGGCCAGACACCGAGACGCTAGCAATTGGCTGGCGTTACTGTCATGAGCAAAGGTATGGCACTGTGAGTTGTCTGAGCCTTGTCAGGCTTTTCCCGCAGTGATTCTGCATGGTGTGAAAGAGGTTGGGAATCGGAGAATGGCTCTCTGGCTGATCGGCCTGCTGCCAGAGGAGGATTTGTCCATGATAGTCTCACTTGCTTTCGGGGTGTGGCCTGAAAGGGAAGGTTTGAGACAATATTTGTTGGGGTTTTTCCACTCTTTGTTGTGAAACCTTTGGTTTTCTCATGCCTTGATTTTTGGAGTATGTGCCTTAAAAAACAATATGACAAATGCCTAGCTCCAGGTAACGCTTTGCACCTAGAAAGAATGCTGGGTTTTCTGGACTCAAATGATGGGGAGGCTGTGATGCCGTTTGCCCAATGTCAGGCAGCAGTCTGAAAGCAGGGCTCGGAGCAGAAGCTGACTGTCAAATCCCTGCCCCTTCCATGGGCTCCACCATCCCTTCCATCATTTTCTAGTTTTGTTTCTCCTTGCTTTCCTCAAGAAAAATGAAAGGAGAAAATTAAATAGAGATTACGAGCTCCAGCATCTGTGTTAGGGGAATCTGTAGCCAAATGAAAGGTGACCACACTAGGTCCAGTACTGGCTGTTGATTCTTAAGGACCTCTTACTGCAGAGTGAACTGCTTCAGAAATCAGCCTGAGGGCTGATAACCCACAGCTCGGAGTGAGAACAAGGGTCACCACTCTTGATCTGAGATTTAATCAGTTGGGTTTCAGTTATCAAAAAACAAAGCTCATAAAAGAAGCCTGACGTTTTTATATCTTGCACTACTCCAGTGAAAGCTGCGCTCAAGATCAGGGAAGACAGAAATTATACATGGGAATGAGATCTCAGTGATACCCTTTTTGAAGCCTCTGGATGATCATATAACGCACAAACCAAAGCCCTGAGTGGTTTATTTTGATGTGTGGATCCATGCCGTTACCAGTGAAATGAAGTCCGTGCATCCTGCCCGGCGGCATGTTTGTGCAATCGGTGTGAAGGGGCTGATCTAGCAAGCCTTGCATGAGAATTTTTCTTTCCCATACGTGCTCTCAGGAGGTGTTAATGCTGTGCTGAGGAGCTCTGCTCATGGACTAGGACTATGGTGTGAAATGTGATACTGTCACGTCGTGGAGAAAATGCTGTCACCCCCATCGTCAGGATGGATATGTCTGCTATAGGCAAACTCATGATTGTTAGGGCTTCCAGACAGCTAGCGGGGGGCAGCAGCAGCTCCCTGGGACGCCTCAGCCCCAGCAGCCTGGCCCAGCACACAATGAGCCTCATGCTCGTGACAATATCTGAACTTTTCTAAGTTAAAGCCAGCAGAAGTGGCTTTCCATTCAGACCTTCAGTTTCCATGTTGACGTGCCATTATGCCATGAGGCAGCCCAGGAAGAATACTTGGGCGTGCTAGGCAGTGGGGTGTAGTTCATGTGGCTCATGCACTGTTACTGCAGTGGAGATGTCACGAGTCAGTGTCTGCAGCTACCAAGGGCCAAACTGAAAGCTCCTCATTAGTCAGAAGCAAAACGGGGTGAAATGGGCTTTGCCCACGTTAATAAACTTTGTGTTTTAAACCACCACTTCCCGTCCAGTCAGCAAAACCCAACCCCTGCTGTTAGAAATTACTGCTCTGATTCTGGGTGGGTTCACAGTCCTGCTCCCTCTCACAGGCCGGGCTGGCACCTTTCACCTCTGGAGAAGGTTTGGACAACAGGCATCCAGCTGAAACCCCATGTCCCAGCTAGAAGCAAAACACGCCTTTAAATCAGCTATGGGGCACATTTCCCAAATGCTCTGCTATCTCCGGTCCCCTCTACTTTGTCTGTGAAACTATTACTTTGCATAATAGAAGGGAGAGACGCTCTGACCATCTGGTAGGCAACGCCATGTATAATTTAGGTTGCTTCACTCACTCTCCCATCAACAACAGGAAAGTAGATTCCTTCTGGTTTCCCTTGATCTCTTAGCCCTTTGCTACAAATGCAAGGTCCCAAGCAGCTGCGGGGGAGTAAACTGCATCCTGCACTGGGCCACGGCGTTTTGAGGGATGCCTCTGCTTGTGGGTGGGACCCCATCACAGCCAGGTTGTTTCCTGATTCTGCGTGAGCAAAGGGATCATGAACTCAGTAAATCCCCGCCAGGAAAGGACAGCTGGTATCAATGGATCTGCAAATTCCCCTTTCCCCTCCCAGGGGTTCTCCAGGATGGGGATAGCATCTTCAGGGCTCTGGGGAAACACTGCCATCCCCAAGGAGCCCCTCACCGCAGGGACCGAGCCACCTGCTTGTCCCATTGGCGGTCTTCTCAGGCAGAGCAGCTGCCAGGAAACCTGCAGCAGGGAAACCACCATTCGCTGCTATTCCTCTATGTCAATTATTTGGGCCTATCCGGGCCTGCGCACTTGTTTTTCCACTCCTGGTGAGCACGGTGAGGTGGTTAAGGCCCTGATGCTGAAGTTTATGGCTTAAATCAGTGGGATTATTCATGAGGTCAGAGATAACCGTGTGCTTTTATACCTGGCTAGAACGGCGTCTCAAGCTGACGGCTGGGAGTCAAAAGCTCTGAGTCATCGGGTCCCTCCTCGCCTTCCTGTGTGACCAGTCTGCCCGTGTCTGCTTCCTTGCCTGCCGCAGAAGGAGGATGGCAGTCGCTTTTATCTGATGGTTACTTTCAAATGGCCCTAGAGGCCTCTTCTGGTCTGATGAAAATTCAGTAGAAGCTGGACTAGCGTGGAAAAGACAGCAGGACATTTAACTAATGAACGCGCTGGAGCTCAGGAAAGCAATTACATCTTTTCTTCCTCCTCCCCACATTCCCACACGGGTTACTCAGAGATTGCTGCAGAATTTTCTCTGAGCAAAGAGAAGTGGAAGGCCATGAAAAAGCTGAGATGGGTCCCTCGGAGCTGAAGGAAACCTCATGTGGGATGGTGGTTTGGGTGCCCCGTACGGCAGATTGCTACGCTAGCAGATTCCCAGCAGTAGTTACACCTTAAAAGAGGCCCCGCTCAATTAAAACCCGTGACCTTGATTCTGCAAACCTCTTCTTTACATACATAGCTCGTAAAACAAAAAGATGCAGAAAAACAAGAGAGGGAGAAAGAGGCAAAAAAGAGGGCCACTCGCATATATTTTATGTCCCACTACACAACAGTTCCCCAGGGAAGTGTGCGAGAGGACTTCTGCATTTGGCTTGCACACCTCTGCTTGGGTAGTGCGAAAACCTGCGTGCAGTGCTGTGTACAGCTGCCGTAGCCATAATATGCAGGGCTGAAACCCTGGAGAGGAGCTGTGGGCGTCCTCCCAGCTGCCCCATGCTTTTGCAGACATTTGTAAATACAATTGCTCTCACTTTCCATTGATAGAAATCAAAAGGCAATTAAGAATCAAGCTCTTTAAATTGATAAGTCTCTTGAATTTGAAACATTTTTCATTCTTTGGCTGGTATCGCTGCCTAGATTAGATTATTTTTTTAAAGGCAAGATTAAAATAAACAGTATTTGTGGTTTAATTATTTGAATGACTAAGAAGCTCCAGCTTTATTTTAACTTCACAGAGGACTGGGAGATGTTTTTAATGATATGTTTGACTCGCATAGAATCTTTCATCCAGGGATCTCAAACTGCTTTTCAAATAATTAATTAATCCTTGTACCTTTCCATGAGACAGTTTTATCTCTGACATTACTGATGGGTAAACAAAGGCACAAAGACGTCAAGGCACAAACTGCTTTCCAAATATTAATTAATTAATCCTCACACCACTCTGTGAGACTGTTACTGTCTTTGGTGTTACCAATGGGTAAACTAAGGCACAAATATGCAAGCAACTCGCCTGAGGCCGTGCAGGTGAGTCAGTAGCAGAGCTGAGAATAGCATATGACCGGTCGAAGCCTTGGCTAATTGTTTCTAGCAAGTGCTACGCCGTGCTTCTGACAACAGACCCTGCAAGCCCCTGCGTGAAGCACAGCTGAAACCAACTGCGTTTCTGAAAATATCCCTCCTTTCTGTCTCCTCCCACTGGAGGCTGCCTTTGCCCACGGTTGCCTGCAGCTCCTTTTCAGCTCGTAATGACCAGTGGAAGCCCACGTTGCTGTGATGACAAGCGGTTGTTGGGAAGTACCTGGGGAGTTTTGAGCTCCTCCAGTGATGGGGGCTGTGCAAACGCTTTGCCCTGTGGCTGGGGGCCCCAGGAGAGCAGCACGCAGGTTTGCTGGTGTTTGCCCCTGTACCGGCCCCGTGTGGCACCCTGGGGCCAGGGATGCCCCAGGCTCGGCCACGGCCCCTCAGCAGCCAAGAACACCTTGCGTCCTGGCACGGGCTGTCAGCTCGGGCTTCAGCAGGTATTTAGCCCACGGAGCAAGAGCTCTGTGTCCTCTCCATGAGGAAGAGGAAAAGCACTCTCTGCCCTCAGGAAAGGGCTCTCCTTCCCATCCAGCCGCAGCAATTTTCCATGCAGGCACCTGAACCCTCACCATGCTCGCATCCCAGCTGAGCTATTTCAAACATGGGCTTGGCCTCATCAAATGCCGTCTCATTTCCACATGAAAGCGCTGGAGGAATACGAAGCCAGCTCATCTGTATTGATAAGAATTTGGCATTACTTTCCCCCAGTTATCTAAGCTTTCTGTGTACATTAATCACAATGCACAAACCAGGAGCTGGGGGGATGCATCTTCCCAGCTGGCTTTCCCTGGGCTCGGGCAGTAATCCGCCTCTGTTTCTTTTTGCGTGTGTTTTTGTTGTTGTTGTTTTTTTCTAAACTTCCTTTTTCCAGTTCCACTCCGCTGGAGCCTGATTGCTCCCTCCCCTCTGCAATTTGGATGCCTCATTCTTCTTGCTCCAGCTCTGATGCAAGCGCTGCGCTGCCGTGCTTGCCAAACCTGGCATGAGTACCCACTGCTAGTCTAGACACCAGTCTAACTGTAGCGCTAATGCTAGGGTTTAACAGACTGATCTCGGCATTTGTCATAGCTCTGCCCACGGTCATCGCTTTGATCTTTATCCTTGAAAACCACAGCCATTGACAAAGGTAAAATGAATTTCTGTCTTTGAAAGACTTTGATGGCATTCCCGTGTTTTGTTTCTTTTTTTTTTTTTCTTTTTTTTTCTTCTCTTATTTGCTCTTCCAGCTGAACTTCATCATAACACTTTTGATTACAGCTGCAACTCCAGGACTGGCTACAGTTGTTCTTTCTTTCTTTCTTTCTGCTGTACAGCCATTTAAAAATCTAAGGGGGAAATCCTGGGACACTTCTGAGACAAACTGCCAGTGAGTGTAATGTAAACTTTAATGGGAGTCAGCGACTGAGGGCCCTCAGGATTTGTCATCTTGAATAGGGCCAAGTGCCAAAAGCAGGAGAGAAGGAGAACTATTTGATATTAGATTTCTAGTTCGAAATCTGCACTCTGCCAAGTACTATTATTTGCCTCCATGTAGTACCTAGAGGTTGAGCTGAGACAAGGGCCTTCTATTAGACGTTGTATAGACACGTTGTAAGAGATTGCCTCTGCCTGGAGGTGTTTATAATTTAAATAAACATGATGAGCAAATCGAGTGTTACTAGCTCCATCTTCTAGATGGGGAAGTGAAGGAAAGGAGCGTACATACCTCGTCCAAGGTCACACAGGGGACCTGAATTCATTGGAGAGCTCCAGGTATGACAGCTGGTGATAATGTCCCCTTTGCCAATGAGCCCTTTGGCTCCAGAAGCAATGGCTGGGCTCTCACCATGCAGCTAGAGGTGCCTCTCGTTCGTAAGGATTTATGACACTTTTCCCTGCTTGGAGTTGCAGGATTTGGCTCACTGCGGGGGAATGCTACACAAACTTCCCAGCAGCTCAGCCACCACTAGAGAAAAAGCTGCTTCTGAGCCAATTTTTTATTTTTTTTTGTAATGCTGTAAAAGCCAATTGTGAGATGCCTCATCCCTTTGAATTTACTGTAGGAAACAAGCTACGTGAGGAACCTTCAGCAAGGTACTTCCACCAACCTTCATGTAGGAGCAGTGATGAACTTCAGTGAAGCCAGACGAGGTGGTCCTTCCATGGGGCCTGAGATAAGAGCAGGAGTTCACAGAGCTTGGGTTTAATATCATGCACAATGTAAAAGTAAATAAATTCAATAGGGAAGGCTTTGATTACAGGATATACACAGCGCGTTATTTGCACATCTGTAAAAATCTTCCAAGGGCTGTGAGTGAAATCCAGGTTTGTTGAAGTCAATGGGATTTTTGCCACAGACAGCTGTGGGGCCAAGTTCCCCCTAAACACTTGCACATCCTTTCCCTGTTTTCTAGCACACAGGTGATGCCAATGGGACTCAGCAGCTGCTGGAGAGGAGGGCAGTGAATTATAGCAGCACGGGGAGGAGAACTCCAGAGGAGTGAGTGATGCTAGCAACTATGAAAGTCCTGACAGTGGTATCACACAGCCCATCCAGAACAGCCTTCAGGGTAGCCAGTCCATAGCTAGGAGAAGTTGTTTATCAAAAATGGGTTTTGTTCAACACACAGATAAATCTGCCTTCAAAACTGGAGCTGGAAGTTTTCCTGTTCTCATATACATGTATAAATATCACATAAACACATACACATAGCTGGCAAATAAAAATGTTGTATGTAGGTATAGTGTGTACGTTTTAGATAGCAAAATGCATATATTTTATGCATATAGTCATGTAGCTATATATTCCCAACATCCATAAAAACGTATTTTCCTGTTTTTTCCAGCCACTTCACCAACTGATTCACAGATGCCAAATGTTGACACAATATGTTAAAGAGCAATGTTGACAGTTTTCCATGGACAGTTTTCTGTAGTCTCGGAGAAGCTCTACTCTACATTTCTTCTGAGATTCAAAGGAATTTGATTAACATTTTGCTGTTGCCCATTTCTGACTATCCTGATTTCAGCTGGGACTGGAGGAGCACTTGATGAGTATGTCTCTTTTGTTATTTACAGCCTTGTCAAAACGATGAAGTAGCAGGAATCTCCTCAGAGAGCAATGTATCACAGCATTTTTCAAGATGATTTCCAAATCAAAGATGACTTCCAAGGAGCAGCAAGGGTGTAATCCTGGAGCCAATCAAGCCAATGGCAAAAATCCCACTTTTTGCATGATATTCTTAATGAAGCCTCTGAAATTTTGGAGTTTCATATATTATGGCTAAAAGATCCTGTCCAAACTCAGCATCTGTGAGCCTTACAGAGGCATGACCCCAAAAAGAAGTGATGAAAAATGTCCATTTTAAAAACAAATATCCCTGTTTATAATGAGACCAGGGGGAAAATGGAGAATTCAGTACTTAATACTGACACCTGCCACTTGCAAAATCTCTGCACTGCTAGAAACAAATATTAGTGAGAGTTTGGAAACTTTCAGTCACTCATTTTTTCCTCCTTCACTTCCATTTTGGTATGCCTTCACTTCCATCTGGTACGCCTGCCCAATAACATCATGGACATTGCTGAAATGTCATGATGAACTTTGTTCGTGTACTAGTTCCAGGTGAGATGGCCTTGGGAGTAGCTATAATTCTTAACAAAACAAAAGAAGTATTTGCCAATGTTTCTGGATATAGTTGTTATTTCCCAGGCACAGAGACTCGTCAGAGCACCCATAAATATCACTGTCATTGAAATCTGATTTCCAAGTTCTTTCCTGCAAATGCCCACCGGCTGTGAAAACCCAGCCGAGTTTTGGCTGCTGGGTTATAAACTCCTTCTGGGCTGTGCTTGGTGTCTGGCACAGCAGCCAGGGGTCTCTGCCAGTGCAATGGGGTGCTACAAGCGTCATAAATGGCCAGGTTGATTTTTGCTCTTCCTTGAGCAACTGAAAGAAACTGGGCTAGATAGAGTCCTGGTCCCAACAAATACAGAAGTTCTGACATTGTCATATAAGGAAAATCCAGTTTCTTAGAGAAAACCTCAGACAAAATAGCCATCCCAAGATATTTGTTGATTTATGCTATATAGATGCAAACAAAACCAATGTACCTTACAATAAATGGGTTACTGAGCGTTACCAGAACATTTCCATATCTGATTTCTAGCTGGTAGGCTTGGTGTTTTTTTTCTGTTGGTGCACATCGGTGAATGAGAACTTATTTTCCAATTGAATGAAAAATTTTGCCTCCAACAATATTCAGAAACCATTGAAAGGTTTAGAGCTCTCAATAGGAAAAAGCTAAGAACAGCAGTTCAATTATTTTCTGAGAGATTTCTTCAGTATTGCACTCCCCCATCACCTCAAAGCTACAGAGAAGTAACATATTAACCGAAATAACAAAATTAATCCATGTCATCAGCAGTTTTCATGGGGGAGAGGAGTAGTCCCTGGTTATTTTCCCCGTTTACTACTTACACTTAAATCTGGTTTTAATCCAGCTCTGACCTCCGTCAGTGGCTGCTCTGCAGCATCCCGAAGCCACACGGGGCTGGACTCGGAGCTGAACTCAGACTCCAAGCAGGCCATTGCAACTCAACGCCGTGTATTAATGACAGTAATAGCAATATCCTTAGAGCCTACTGGAACCTACTGAAAGCCAAAATTAGCTCAGCTGAGCTGGAAAGGCCTCCACCGATCCTCTTAGCAAGGTATGTGAACACAGGGAGCAGGACGCGGTGCGGGCAGATGCCAGCTGGGCTGACACAGGAGAAAGCCCGCAGGGTGTGCAGAAGTGATCAAGGCTCAGCATGCTGGGGTAGAGGAAAGAAAGCACGGCTGAATGGCACCGTTTATGTCCCGAAGGAGAGCCCAAGTGCCAGCCAGCGCCAGGAGATAAGGAGAGCCCCACAGAAGGGCACAAAGGTAGCACTGATGAGCGGTGCTTGGCTCGGCTCCCACAGAGGTCGCAGCTGGATCCCCTATTAGCTTTCCTCAACACAGCGTTATTGAGATTATGCTGAGCTACTTGGTGGTAATGCCCCCCTCCCACAGACCTTTCACGAGAAAACAGAAGTATTTGATATTCCAGGCATAAGCAAAGACAATCGAAGGCACTGCTGTCTACTATAAGCTGGAGAATTTGGCTACAAGTATACAGAGTCCAGCAAAGCACGTGGCAGGGTTACTCTGTGAGTAAACTGATGCACGAGCCTGCAGGATCTGCCTAAGCAGAAGCAGGACTGAAACCTGGGTCTGTGGTGGTGTGTCCTGGGCTCTGCTGTGAGAGCCTCCACTGGAAATAGTGGATAGCTCCACTGGTATAAATGTGTCCACTCTGAAACTTAAAACATTGCCTATATTACGACAAGGGGAAATTCTTAGTTATTACCATTTCTCATCATCCTCGTGGAGCTGAAGTCCCACACAGCAGCCTGGTTCATCACACAAGGAAGCCTCTAGCGTGGCATTGTTGTCCTTCTTGTTCAGCTCTGTTTATTTTCCAGTTCCCATCCAATCGGCTCCAATGAATCAAGGTGGGAGGAGGTAAAGCAATTGGAATGGTCAATTTTTAAGGCTGCGCTGAGCATAAGGTAAGAAAATATCATAAATTTTATTTCATGCCTTCTTGCCAATTGTTAGAAATGTGCAGTCCATATGAATTCATATAACAAGGAGGGAATGTTGGGAAAACCAATAAAGATTTTGTGGTCTTAACTATAATGAATGTAGTTTGATATAGAGTCTGTTTTTCACTGCATGGCAAAATGAATCATAAAATACTGGACCTTGAAACTCCTGCATTTTTTAACAATAGCCTGGGGACAGTTTACAGTGTAATGAATTGTAATTAACCCACCTTCAAAATCTTTTATGAGTATTTTGCCAATTAGCTTCGCATGCTTGCTAATGACTCATGGCCAGCGCATGTCTTTACAGAGCAGGCTTTTACAGCACACGCTAGCCTGTTAAGTCAGCAGAAGTATGCAGGACGGTGAGGTATACACAGGTAAGGCCCAGCCAGTCCTAGCAACGTGCATATTTCAACATTCAAAGAGCTTTTGCTGTTCTCTCAGACCCAAAATAACTGTAATAATGTATAGCAACGTCAAAAGGCTTTGGTTTCCAAAGGATTGCGAGGAATGCAAAGGGCTCAAGTCCTGACATCTGTTGTTACTTAGTACTAACATATATAATGCTGCTAATTGCTGAGCCATCTTTGTTTTCCTTACTTAGCACTAGGGTTAGAATTATTTTATTTTTGTGGTTCATGGCTTCCTGCCACTTGCAACACAAAGTCCACTCTAAAGAAAATAAAACAACTACCAGGCTGCCTACTAACAGTGTGGAGGGCTGAATTTGTTTCTTCCCCCTCTTTGGCTTTTTTTTTTTTTTTTTAATTCAAGGGGAATAAGTGGAGACGTGCCCCAGACAGGACGAGCAGAGCTGGGACCTGAGCAGCATCACAGCAAGCAGCCATGTGAGCCAGTATCCTGTCTGCTGGTGTAGCCAGGAGGAGATGCGGAAGGAGGAAACTCAAGGAGGAGGTACGGCGTGATCCTTCCCCAGCTGTACCCTTCTTGCTTCAGGCAATCCGTGGTTTATGGACTTCCCAAAGCAGAGGCTGCCTCCAGACCAGTGTGTTTTAATAGCCACCCATGGACCTATCCTCCTCAAATTTTTTTGATCCCTTTCTCAAGCCATTTATAACTTTTGGCCTCCGCAACATCCTGTGGCAACGAGTTCCACAATTTAATTATGCTTTGCATGAAAAAGTACTTCCTCGTGTTGGTTTAAACCTTCTTGCGTGAATGCTGTGTCAGGTCCCCTTACGAGAAGCAGTGGACAACCATTTCCTATTTGCCTTTCTCTATATGTCATTCACGATCTGACAGATCTTCACTGTACTGCCTGCTTCTATCACTCCTTTCCACCCTGAAGACTCCTCATCTAGTTAGTTTCTTGTCTTTATGGAAGCTGTTTCCTACCTCTCCTCATCCAGAATGCTTTCATTTCTGTGTTTTCTAGTTCAGTTCAACCCTTCTGGACTTAGATGACCAGAAAACACACTACCATTGCCGTACAGTTTCACTGAGGACTGCTATGATGACGTTTTCTGTTTTGTTCCTTCCTGGTTCTTTGCCAGTTAATTCTTAACATGATGGTTGCCTCTCCTGATGGACTTTACCTGATGTTTACACAGGACTCCAAGCTCTCTTTGCTAAATGTTGAACTGAGGTCTCATCCACGTTGAAGTGCAGTTGGGGTGAGTTTTCTGCATGTGCTCTGCTTTTGTTGACACTGCACTACATCAGTCATTTTATTGCCCAGTCACTCAGGATCATGAACTCTTTCGGCAGTGCTTTGTGGCCAGATTTAGTTTTACAATGCTGAATAATTTGCATCGTCTGCAAAATTTCTCATCTCACTATTCATCCTTTTTACCAGGCTATTTATGAATACGTCTGAACACTGTCAAATTAGTATTGCAACGACCTCAGTTCTAAGTAATGCACAAAACCTTTCTCTTGTACAGAGAGATGTGGCAGATGTCCTAGCATGAAGCCCTGAGGGGACCCAGTTGTATCCTCCAACAATTGTGAACAGAGCTTCATACCCATCTTCCAGAAAGACATCTTTTAACCTGTTATTACTCTGGGAAATAACTTTATTTTCCCATCCTTTATCATGGAGCCTCGATGCAGATAGTTTTTAGGCATTTGTGTTTATTGGTATGACTCTCTTAACTCCTCCAAGCATGTTATCAATATTGAGTGGGTAAGCTGGAGAAATCTCTGATAAGGAGTCCCATCTGTTGTGTCAAGTATTTCATTCCATAGCCAGGGATACGTCATTTGTTGGCCTATTATTTTTAATAACTATCAGATCATCTTTCCTTGATGATCATAGTTTCACTGTAAACCATGCCAACCATCAAACAGAAGGACCTCAGATTAGAAAGACTTCCCTCTGCCCGCTCTCTTCTTCATGCTTCATGAATGGAGGAGGAGGAGGAGATGTCAGAGCCCAACAGTATTTTCCTTTGAGCAGTGATTCCCAGAGCTTTGGTGTAGGCTGGAAGCAGAAACACAAAGACTTTGGTTGAGCTGTTGGGTTCCTCCAACCCCATACCCAGGAAGGTGCCCAGCCTCAGCCCAGAATCATGCAAAACAGCTGATGTTGAGCAAAAACTGAACCAGCATCTTTGGCTAGTCAGGAGTTTGACACTGTACTTACTTAAGTTGGGACGATATAAGCTTAAAAATCATGCAAGAAAACCCGGGCTGATGCTTGCTCTGTAATCTGATCCATCAGCCAACGTTCAGCCTTGTATCCAGGCCCTCTCCTACCTTGAGCTATGTTGTGTTTGATTATCATTGTATGCTTTTCAATGTAGTAGTAATTCAAAAAACTCCACCTGAGACTTTCAGAAGTGATCATCACTGGCCTCAATGGGCTACTGAGAGCTTAAGGCAAATCTTCGTGTTTTGGAGAACTTTCATGCATGTCACACATTTATATCCTGGGCAGCTTTTTTACCACATAGAAGTCAAAGGATTTCCATTATCAATATTTCCTAAAAAATTAAAATGTCACCAAATGCTTAGTCCAGTAGATTAAATCCACAGAATAATTTGGAGTTAATTAACTGAATTAAAGATAATGCAAGTTATGTACCCTTGAGTACAAGTTGAGTACAGTGCTTGGTGACGCTTTTTTATTTCCACATCCAAAGACTTCTGGTTTTCAAATCTAGGGAATTATGTCCCTTCTAAATTCTGAATTTATTTTGTTTTCATTTATCTCAGCAAAGGTGACCGATCTGGTCGCACACATCTGAAATATTTTGCATCTTGGATCTCTGAAAAGCTGAACTCATCCTGATCTGCTTACACAGATCAGCTGAAAAGAGATTTTTTTTCTCTTTACTGTACCGCAGTATAGATCCATTTCTCCTGGAAGATCAGCTCTCACAGCAGTGTGAAACCAGTTAGCATCAGCGAGCCATTTCCTCGTTTCACAAAATAGTGCCACTTCTCTGTTGTCCCAGATCATTCTCACTCCCCCGTCAGCCAGCTGTCCAAGTGGTTTAGCAGGAAGGGCCAAACTTGTGAACTTAACCCAGACTTAACTTGTGCCTCATCCTCGAAAGCTGTGCATCTGCGAGGTGTCCCTGGAGGGCTGTGACTCAGCTCTCCCCAGCTCTGTTGTGGTGCCGGACCTGTCACACCAAGTCATCATGAGGTGCTGAGCGTTGCCCCACTGGGGTTGTTCTGCACACCGCTTTCCTCCTGGAAAACCTGTTTGCTGGCCATGCAGGTAACACAGTGCAGAAAATTGTATCACAACCATGGGAGCCTGGTACTTGGAGCAAACCAGGAAGAGGAGCCAACACCTACTGCATGAATTGTACAATTCCATGAATCTTAAGGGTTGAGCAGCATGTTTGGACCAAAACTTTTTTCCAAAGAAAAACTTCAACTTAAATATATTTCAAAATTCCACTGATCATGCCATACTGACCTGATCTGCAAATTTCAACCTTTTTTTTTCTTTTTTTTTTTTTTTCCTCTTGTTAATTCAGTGGGAGCTTTGCCTGTTCTGTGCAGGACTGGACCATCTGTAAATGTCCAAGTAATGGCAAAATATTCGTTCTGTCCTAAATAAGATCAATATGTCTACAAACTACAGGGATTTTCAATCCTGCTATTTCTACAAAGTATGGACTTTGCTTCACTGGGGGCCTAATCCTGAATCAGTTTACTTAGTGGGAACGGTGGCATTAAACTAAATGAGAGCACAATCAGACCATGCATTATTTCAGCCAAGCTAACATGCCACAAAAAAATGTGTAGAATCATTTATTAAAAAAAAAAAAGAGAGAGAGAGAGAGAGAGAAATTAAACATATGGTTAGATAATTACTGGGAATCACTGAACACCTACACAGGATAGTTGCAAGCATGGAAATACTCATACACATATTTGAAGTTATACCACAGATTCCTTGGGTGGGTTTCTTTGCCTTGCTGTTTTATGTCTGGACAAATAATTTGGATTGCGATTGCTCAGGTAATGTAATCTGAAATCATGTTGCCTGTGTAGCAAACAGAAGTGAAAAGAGAGAACATTTCATTTCTGTCTAACACGAAGCAAAGTTCACAGCTGCAGCATTTCATTCCAAGCAACACCATTGCCTGTAATGCAGCAAAGCACGGCGGAGGGGGCACTGAAATTATTTTTCTTCTGCCAGAGCTAAGGCATGACTTTTCTTTTGGGTGGGGGAACTTCTTATCAGCTCCAGAGCATAAAAGCGAGCAGTGTTGCCATGCTGTGATAGAAATTGCACATTGTGTAACTCCAACAAACTGCCTGCCATGCTTGGAGCCATTATCTTTGTGCACAGTGGCACAGAGGGAGTGTGAATGTGGTAGCGTGGGATGGGAGGTGTGGAGGTGCAAAGGGCTCTCAGACTGGCCAGGTAAATCTTCTCAGCAGCTCCATTCTGCTACTGTGTGTTTTCTTCATCAGTTGCAGGGCAGTGATCTGAGGACCAAACCAAGCAAGGTGCAACAAAGGTGGGCTAATGCCTATGTCCTACAGAAACTCTTGAGACAGATGAAACCTTGCCACTGAATAACGTCTATCTTCTTTATCTTCGCTAGCACTTAGCCTCTAAAATTTGGTGGAAATTTCAAAAGCTGGAAGTGGCCATTGCATCCTTGAGTAAAATGCTGTCCCTTTTACAACCAGCCAATTCATGCATTTGTCTGTGAATTCCCCAGTCCCCAACACAGGGCACATTTCTGCCCTTTTCCTCTCTCCTCAGAGCGACCTTCAGTCCCCGCCCGCTCCCCACATCAAGCACAGGTGGGTCAAAAATCAGTCCTGGTAGGAACACATTTTGGTGAGTGCACAGCTCATGTTTACACACAAGAAAGAGCTTTGCTGCACCAGGCACTTTGATGTCATCTACGCCTGAGCTCTCTAAAACATATCCTATCTGAGTAGCTCTGAGCTAACCTGGAAGTTTGAATGCAATGTGAACAAACACAGATAGCAATTTCTCCCCTCCGATTTCCCCAAAAGCATTTCATTTCTTTGTGGTTACCTGCATTATATTGGTCTAAGTATTCACTTTGTAGGCAGAAACATATATTTAATCCCTATTTTTTTCCTGATAAGTAGTTCCTCTGATGTTCTTTTCCAAACCTATAGACATCTGCTAAGAGCCCCCAGGCATGATTCCTCTTGGGCTATTGCTCCTTGAGCAAGAAAAGATTCACAGCGGTAGAGTATCTTCAGGTTCCCTAAACACCTAAAATTTAGTGTGGTTTCTCTCTCTCTCTCTCTCTTTTTTTTTTTTTTTAATAATAAATAAATAAAATTTTGTCACCTAAGAAAGCCCTGCAAATTTTAAACCTCCCTACATTAAAACAGAGCCATCTTCCTGTGAAGACAATACAAAAACCCTGCAGACAGGGTCAGTTGTTAGTTTTGCTTGAGTGCAGACCTCCATACCCCCGCCAGCCTCCCTGGCTTGCTGATAGAAATGCTTCTTTCTCATGAGCCAACCCGAAGCTTCAAATGAGAGACAATGAGAATTTGGCACATTCCCCTGCAAAGGATGATCCCAACACAACCCGGCTGCTGCTTGGCACGCGTCTCCGGCTTCAGTACAAGAGACTGCTGTGTCAGTAAGTTCAGGCCCATTTTCCCCCACCATGCCATATGAGCTTTTCTAGCAAGCTCCATCTTAAATGAGAAAATTGTTCGTGCTCGCTCTCACCAGTCGTTAGGAAACCTTTCTCTAATTTCTCTAATTTCTAAATCCATCCACAGCAGTTTGTATTACCGTTTTCGTACCAGAGCATCCCTTTGCCTGAAGAGTTCTTCAGCTTCCTTATTTTTTTTTTAACACATTTATAGACAGAAATCTCAGCCATTGATTTTCTCAGCTAATCCCTCATGGTGTCCTTACCCATAGCAGGCCCTCCTGTCCTTGCCAACCTTGGTAGCACACTTTGGCATTTGCTTCAGCTTCAGCTCATTTCTTGTTGCTTGGTGAGCACAGAGGGGCACCGCGTTGCGCCGTGTTGAAGCCAAGCTCTTGTGTGTACCCGCTGTGCTGCCACTGTCTCGTCTCTCCCTTTGGATTGCATTTCCCTTTTCATGGCTATGGCATAGTTGTGACTCAGAGTCACCCTGTGATTACAGGACACCAAAGTCTTCTTCCTCCCCGAGCAGCTCTAAGTGCACAGCTCATTACAGACTGTTTTCTCAGTAACAATACCCAGCTCTGGTGATTTGCATTAGCTACGGCTCTGGGCTTCCTCCTCTAGAAGAGCCAGGGCTTTGCCATTGACACCAAGTGAAGAACCAGCTCTCAGTACTCAATGTGTTGAGGGGAAAGAAAAAAGTAATGAAATAAAGACAGCCAGAGCTGCATCGCAACCTAATGTGTTATAGCACTACCAATCAACACAGGGACTTCTCCTGCCAGCTTGGAAACCAGATAGAAGTAGAGTGCTTCTATTTTAGCATTAAAATGGAAACAGGTGGGAAGGACGGATGGGATTTATCAAGCCAAAAAAAACCTTTTTTTTTTTTTTTTTTTTAATCTGAGTGGAATGGAAATGATAATCCTGCAGTGTTACTGTGGCGCTGCACTATTGGCCTTCCCCTTGCTCGGCCTTTGGCAGTAAGGATTCAGTTGCAGTGAGGCTGCAGCGTCGCAGTTTACTTCCTCACCCAATCCTAGGGCTGCCCCTCTGTGAGTTACTACACTGCCTGGCACAGCCAGAGGATGCGACTGAAGAGAAGAGTTGAGTTTTGCAATGATTTTTTATAGATGGCTAATTGAAAAAAATGAATAAAAATGAGCTGCTGGATATTTCATTGCTTAGAGGGTACAACATCTCTGGTTGGTCAGGTAAGTAATAAAATGGACTACCAGGTAATGCAGTTATCTTGATTATTATTGATATTATATTATCTTTATTGCCTTTTTAAAACTATTTGCAGTAAACGGCCCTGAGTCTGAAATTATTTTAAAGCACAAAAATATTTAGTGATCCAGCTACTGAAAGGTCTGTGATAGACTTTTGTGTCCGTGTGAAATGCCACTGAAACCAAATGGCTCGGGCTAACTGCGCGCACTCGGACCAGCAGACAGCCTGTAACACAAGCAGGATCCGTACCAGTGACGTGTCCTGTGTGCCCATCTCGCAGGGCACAAAGAAATGGTTGCTCCTTTCCTGAAGCTGCTTACAAGTAACTTCTTTATATTTTTAGTTGGAAGGAAAAACACTTTTCTGCTATGTTAAGGTTTGGAAGTGGAGTCCTTTTATGTTATTATTATAGTTACTTTTTTTTTACTTTTTTTTTACAGTTTTATGCTTCTTTGTACTTCTTGGTTTGAGACGGAACCAGAAGTCCAAACAACAAAGTGTTTGCAAAAGTCCTGATGGTCGGGAGATCACTGAACTCCTTCAGACCAAGAGAGATGAAAAGCTTACAAGAAAAGTTGCTCTCCAGAGGCTTTCAGCCCAGTGACGAGGAACCGAGGCAGGCTGAATACACTCAGGGCGATGAATGGAGGGAGGAAACATTCAGGTACCTTTCAAATACGCAACCAAACAATCTGAGGTTTCCCTGTCACATGCCTAGACGCATGTTTCGAAAGGGTATAAAATAAAAGAAAGAAAAATGCGCTGTCTGGGAATTCTTACCCTGTGACTGTTGCGCAGCCAAAAAGCTGGGTAATTCTCTTCAACTGAATAAACATCGGGGGGAGTCTGAGAGCAATTTGGCTCCAGAGCAAATATTGTTACCAAATTCTTTGCACCTGCAGTGGTCAGGGAGATGATAATACACCCTCTCCATGTCTTCCTATCCCACGCTTTGGAGCACAGCCACGCAGTGTCTCACGTCTGCTGCAGCGTACATGTTTGTGAGGGAAGGACTTCAGGCAAGCCCCTGCTGGTGGGGCTGCAGTACGATCCACAGCCCAGCCCCTAACACCCACTCTCGTCTCGGTCCCCAGCAAACCCAACACCCCGACACGACTCGAGAGCAGCAAGGCAGCTGCACTGCCCCTGCTGCGGCCGATTCTCAGCCGGTGCTGTGCCGGCTTTGCACCACGCTGCCCAGCTGGGGTTTGCCACGGCGTTACTTGCTAAGCAGGGTTAAAGATAATAATGAAGAGGTTAAGGGCTTTGGCTGCCATAGCTTCTGCTACCATTCTACCAGCCTAGGCACAGATACCAAGGAAAAACACACACTTACCTGGTGCAGTATGGCTTGCCGGAGGCTAGGTTGTGTTACAGCGGTGTGTGTCCTTGGTGCCCTGCCTGACACAGCAAGATGCATGCCACTAGTGAGGGAGCACCCCCAGCGCCGCTGTGACCTCAGCCTGCACCTAGCAGAGGCACACTGGGGATGGGGTGGGCAGCGCTGGCACCGCCAAGTCCATAGCAGCAGGAGAAGCCAGGAAATAGGGAAAAAGGCTCCATTCTGCTGGGCCAGCAAGGCTGGGGACACAAGAAGGTGAACTGACACCCCTTCCACTGCACAGGGAGACCAGGAAGGCATCTGGACCTCTACAAGGGGTGCCATTTGATTTTCTGGACTGTTTCTTAGGAAACAGAGGTGCCACAGGACCTCAGTGCCTTGTCTATAAAATGGAGAGCATTCCTGTGCCCATCTTGTCACACTGGTGTGTGGCTTAGTGTATCCATCCACCGAGGAGCAGCTGAGGGATTGAGCCACCAAATGCCACCAAGGCAGAGAAACACTCACACCATCATCGTGTGGGCTTTGCACAGCTGGGCTGAAGGTGAAATGAAGGAATTTGGTGTCAGACTCTCTACTCCAGTCACCAATAGCGTCCTTCAGCAGGGATTTGAGGACAAAGCAAATGGAAAGGATAAAGAAGAAATGAGATGGAGTTTCTCCTGTTCCTACCTTAGACACACTGCGGGATAATGGCTTACAGAGCAAGGGATCAGCTTTGTGTGAGTGCGTGAGCTGGAGTCCATCAGCACCGTGGCTGCTCAGGTAAGGGAGCTTCAAGACAAATCCGGAATAGAGGATACTTCTAATATTTGTAGCATTTTAAAATGTTCCCACTGTAAAACCACTTTTTCACTGGAAGACTCTTAGGCAGATATTTATAAAGAGTTCTTGTATCATATTTGGAGATTAAATTCAGTCCTAAGTCATAAGGTATTGGTTTTATGTTAGTCTTCCCATATATTCGACTGTATTTCCCTTAATACTTAGTAACTGCTGTGTTTTTTTCTTGTGGAGGGAACTTTTTAAGTTAGTTGCATTTATCAAAAGGACAGAAAAAAAGTGGGTACAGTCAATGTTCTAGTAAAATACTTTTGTCCTCAGAACACCATCGTTTGCCATGCAGCATAGCAGTGCCATAAAATTCAGCCACTTAGTCTCATACATAGTCTTGCAGTTTGCATGTAAAACAACTGCCTCTTGGCTATACCCCTGGCCCATAAAACCGCACATCAGCCACTGCTGTGGGTTTCCCAGGAAAAAAGTGCACGCACACATAGTTGAACAAAAAAAAAAAAAAGTGTACACACACATACTTGAACGAGGTAGTACTGAGTTAGCGTCGTTGACTCACTGTCCCCAAGCTCCATCCCACTAAAAAATGAGTGTTTTATATCCATGGGGAGTTTCATAGTAAGAGAAACTCGCTACGTGGTATACTTAATGCATTAAAAGACATTCTGTTTTGGAAGAACTACGCGTGCATGCAGATGCACAGACATATGCCTTTATCTTCTAGACCAAGGGTCTTGTGGTCATGCCTAGTCCATGTTTTTGATAAGTAAAATAAATCGGACTCCTTCATGTCTGCATCAATAAGCAGGTTTAAGAACAGGTGACAACAAAGCAGCTTGGACTCTCACTGGGAAATAAATGCTAGGTAAAGAGAAAGTTGCACCTCAATGTGAAGACAGTCATCAGATTATTACGAAGGAGGACAAAAAGAGGAGATGATGATGATGAGTTACAGAGCCCAAATTCAAAGGAGTTTATGCCAATTTTTGGTAGCTAAGTAGCTGTAAAGACTACCAAGTATTTTCTTAAGATTACTAAACATATTAGCTGATAATTGTTAATATCTGTCCATGAAAATTAACCCCGTACAACAGAGCAATTTAATCACTGCAAATCCACGTTGGCAGAAAAAGAGTTCTGGTTTTTGTATCACTTGGCTGAGCTAAGTAAATGAAAACACGGGATATTTGGTTGATCCTCCACAAAGCTTTTGGGACATGATGTGATCAGAGAGGAACAGGACAGTCTTGTGATTAGTTCTGAATGGCGAGAGTCCCATGCACTAAACTGGGCTTATGAACTATGCTACTTCCAACCCTGGTTGTGGCACGTATTTGCTGTGGTGTGCAGCGAAGCCCCATGAGATGAGACTAATCCGCTTGGCCTATTTTGTCCATTTGGACATGGAGGAGAGGCTCTGGCAACATAGGCATGCAGTGCCTGCAGCAATACACAAATAAACAGTTTAGGAATGAACCTGAACAAACCCTGATGGTTTTTTGCTCAAATGAGGGTGATGTGGAAAGCTCTTACCCAAACCCCATGCATCACAACACATTTCGCTCCTCTCACCACGCTGGCAGACCCAATCAGCCCAGTAATCTTATCCACCCTGCTAAACCCAACCATTAATTTCTGCTGAAGACGTACTCCCACAGAGGCACAGAGGAAATATGCTCAAAGCGTCCCAAGCCAGCATCGTGCCATTGCCCTAAAGGAGCAGCCCCATTAGCAGAGCCTCTGCTATATTCAACCCAGACTTCCTAACAGTATCACATCATAAAACCATCATGCATCTGGCCCAGATTTAAGGCACAGTTGGCAGTATTTGATACAAGAAAGAAACCAAGGACTGAATTAGTATCCCATGAGGTTGTTTTTTTTCAAGTCACAGATGAAGTGCAGAGCCATGTGGAGAAGTCCTCCATACGCCTACTAACCCTTCCCAAACGAAAGAAGGGCTGTCTAGGTTTTATGTTCTTTGAAAATACCACTTCATTACCGCCCCTTTACTTGTTGCCAGGAGAGGTTAACGAAATTACTGAGGGATGAAACATACTTGAAACATTCTTTCTGGATCATCAAACAGGATTAGCGTATGAATTACACTCGGCGGTGCAGCACACCTGAAGGAGACGGGGCTGGTGGGACTGCACGCTCCCCCGTCCGTCGCCTGTGTTAACAAGGACAAAGCGCAGTGCGCGGGGTGTGTGCATGCACACGTGGCTTGTTGGCTACCAGCTGGAGCCTTTGGAGGGGAAGGAGAGGCAGAAACCAACCAAACCAAAGCGCTTGCTGCCCAGGGCTGCCTGAACCATGGCGCTGCACTTCGCTGCTCCTGACACGGAGTCTCGCTTTTGGCAGAGGCTTGGCCAGTGCTAGTCTGGCCGTGCCATGAGCGTGGTGCATGCAGCTAGAAATCCCCAACGCACACCTGAAGGGACTTGCCTCGCTGCCGGCACGCGAGGTAAGGAGGCAGGCCAGGTGAGCGCCACACGCTCTGGGGAAGCTCATCTCTCCAGGACTTAACTCCTCACCAGCAAAGTCCGCGCTCCTTTGCAGCCTACTGACATGACAACCACCAGTTAAACCTTCAGCAGTGAGTAGTTCGCCCTGTCTTCTCCTAGCTAGTGTGGTGTTTCCAGCTCCTCACCAGGTAAACACTCTTCCTACTGATCTTTTTTAACCTATCAATAAACTGCACGGATTATCCAGAGCTTGCACAGTTCATGTGGCACAGGATGCCATCGGTCTTTGCTCTGCCAGTGGCCCAGGCAGGCGCAGCTGCCTCATTTATTCTTACCAGTGTTTTGGGGTGGTAATTTTTTTTTTCTGATTTTTCTTGTCACTTTTCACTAATGGGTTACAAAAATAAAGCTTTGCACATATCTGTGCTTAAGAAGAACAATCTTTCATGTAAAACACATTTTATAACATCACATAGATCAGAACCCAAAGCTGCTGCTGCAGAACGAGATGGCACGAAGGGTTTCTTCTTTCGGGCCAGTATTTCTGGTAGGCACCTGAAAACCAAGCCAGCAGAAGCAAGAGCCTGCACTGTGTTCAGTCAGCACTATTCCCTGTGTGCTGAGGCATATTTGGGTTTGGAGCAGGGAGTTTGTAAATTCAGCACAGGAGAAAAAAAAATGACTTTCACAAAGGTGGCATACACGACTTAGCAAGGGGTGGTTCCACCCTCAGCAGCATCACCTCAACCAGCGGCTGGACTTTTCAAGTTGAACAGCACATCCACCAGCCATTGCTTTGAGATATGTGTGGGGGAGAAATACCTGCCAGCTGCAGCGATTTTTGTCTGTAAACGTTCATTTGTGAGTGGAACTGGGCTGCTCCAGCTGCAAGGACCCTGTGCAGCCTCCATCCTTCGTACCGAACGCCCACCTCTCCATGGGGATGTGCGACACGGAGAGGAGGAAACAGTAAAACAAATGCAGCCGGTGTCACACCGTCCTCTTCAGGATAGGGATTGTCTTTCATATGCATGTATACAGCGCCCAGCATCAAAAAGATCCCAAACCATGCTCTGAGTCCTAAGACTGCACTGTAATAGCAATTATTTGATTTCAGAGGTTTAATTCAGGTGCAACAGCCATCCGGTGCTGCCAGACGAGCTATTGCAAATTGCTGCTGTCCACTGAGACAAGACGAATGTTGATTAATCTACAGCATTTTTTACTGTCTTGTGTTTTTTTAATATCTCACTTCTGATCTCTACTTAATGGCCTAGCAAGTTCCCTTGCTGGTTAGAGTTATTTAGACCGCCCTAGCAGCCCAAAGCATTTATGGTCAGTGTAATTTAAATCTCTTTGTTATAGTCCTAGGAATCTCCTGAAAATAGAAAGTAAAACTAATGGGAAACACAAATGTTTTATAGATTATACGCATGTCTTTAAGATGTAGTAGCCAGCTAAGCAGAAGGTAGGGGAAAAAAGCAGAGATCAAAATCTAGGTCAGAACAAATGCTGGGCAAGAGCCCATGCTGTCAAGTCCCTGGCCTCCCTCAAGAGAAAGAATGAAAAGAATATTTTTATTTTTTTTAAAGGCGGAATAATGGTCTTTTCAAACATCCTATGTTTGTAAAAAAGACATTTCAGAAATGCCATTGCTCCATCCGTTTCTAGGACAACCACTGTTACCACTAATTTTACAGGTGCTTCGTCACCTGTGCTGCAGAGCAAAGTCCGCAAACTGCAGCCCAGCCAGCTCCGTCTGGATGTGAGGAAAAACTTCCCTTCCACCCTCAACCACTGCGATTAGTACCAAGCTACACACACGGAGCAGCCGGGCACCGGCACCCCCCTTTGCCGTGCCTGCTGCTGCCCGGGGCTGGAGGCTCCCCGGAGTGCCAGCGCTGGCCTTGCAGGTGAGGGGACGGCAGCCGCGGCCGTTTCAGACTGGGGTTAATGCTTGGCTGAAGTCACGTCCTTAGGCTACACTTCTCAAATGTGGCAGCGTAATTTTAAAAGCCTCACTTTGAGAAGTAACTTAAGCACTTAAATGGTAAGTCTGAGTGGCTTACAGTGAGATTTACACCCGCAACTGCCTTTGGTTCCCCTTGACGTGGCTCCAGCCACTTCACTTGTCCCACTGAGCCACCAGAGCTCCTGGGCAGGGACCGCTGCCTCTCGCCCCATGGTGGGTTTTCACTTCATGCCTAAATCCCTGGCCCCTCTGGGTTCCAGCACGTTCGAGGTAAGAGCTGCCCTTTTTATTGAGGGGCTGATGCTGCGATCCTTACGGAGCTCCCTTAGCTCGAGAATGATTAGGCACCAAGACGGGCTGCTCTGCCTTGGCTTTCGAAAGCAGAGTGGGGTTATGTGACCTGACACAAAATACCAGCATTTATGAGAGGAACTGGCCACAGTGTGAGCATAAGAACATACCAACGTCGTAGCTCCCCACCCTTTGATCTTGGTGCTTTAATGATTAATTAGTGCTAAAGTACTGGAAAA